TTTTTTTAAGCACTAATTAAACAACAGCAGCAACAGTTCTAATGGTACAATCCAATGCATGTCTTTGCAGAAATAGCTCCCTCTGAATTCTGTGCGTAAGTCGGTACAGCCTCAGTCAATAAAGGACATAGTTAATAAACAATTTGCAACAACCAGCACATTCAGAAATGGGACAGATATAAGTTGTGTCCTTTGCAAAAATATAATCAGATTCGTATTTGAGTTCATATAATAAATTAACGGTAGCTAAACTTGATCCACATTTTATCATTTACATGAAAATCTTGTAGTAGCTAAGGGTTGTATCGAACTAAGTTACACCCAGAGCAGAAACTGAAGTGAATTGACGGAAGTTAGACACGTCCATTATTTTCAATGGGTCTAGGATGAATACTGGAAGGGACACAAATATTTTATTATAATTTAAATACTAATTCAGCCTTTGTATTCCTTAAATAAAAGTATCTAATATCCCTTTCTTTTCTTTTTAAATCAATACATAAGAAAGGAATGCCATTCGGTTGCTTTCACTAACCTCCTGAGAACCTATACTTTTTTAAATCCAAACCCCAGAAACAACAGGCTGGAGAGGATTTGGATAGAGTGCATTTTAAACTAGCATATATCTGGCAGGCACAATTTATGACAGGTCCCCATAGTTTGTATTGCTCTGCCTTAACCATTTTTTAAAAAGCTATTTCTTTACATTATTTTTAATCAGCATTTCCCCCCCTTTATATTGATTAAAAATCTTATAAAGATATACATAGTACGGAAACCCTATTAAATACATATTCCAGCTCTGCAATTCTCTCTCTCTCTCTCTCTCTCTCTCTCTCTCTCTCTCTCTCTGTGTGTGTGTGTTATTGAGCTGCTTTAAGCCTGCTATATTAATAACTCACCTTATGTATCTGTTTAATTTGGCTTCATTTTCAAAAAAAATAATAAAGAAAGACATCCATGATTTTTAATATCTGTCAACTATGAACCTAGCAACCAGTGAAGCGTGTCATCATAATGCTATACAGACATCTTACAAAAATAGTAACAGGTTGAGAGGCAAACAGAAATAAAAAAATTCATATACAGTGGTACCTTGGTTCTCAAACTTTATCTGTTCTGGAAGTCCGTTCCAAAACCAAAGCATTCCAAAACCAAGGCACACTCTCCCATAGAAAGTCATGCAAAATGGATTAATCCGTTCCAGACTTTTAAAAACAACACCTAAAACAGCAATTAAACATGAATTTTACTATCTAACGAGACCATTGATCCATAAAATGAAAGCCATAAACAATGTACTGCAGTCACACAATCAATCAATCAGTAGCTGAACTGGGTTCCGCACAGTCACAAAAAAGAGCTGCAAAAACTCAAAATAAATAGCAAAAACAGACAGACCTCAGTGTAACACTCAAAATGGAGCACGTTCGGCTTCTGAAAAAAGTTCACAAACCAGAACACTTACTTCTGGGTTTGCAGTGTTTGGGTTCTAAGTTGTTTGAGTACCAAGGCATTTGAGAACCAAGGTACCACTCTACAGTATTATACTACTGTGCTCTAGATTGATATACAAATGAATGATAGACAATTAAAAATGTATATACTTATGGATTTATAGCCTCTCTCTTTTTTTTACCAAGCCCACCTACACAAATGACAACAACCTTAGACTGCTATTAACTGTAAGTTCTGTTAACTTAGGTTCCTCGTGACATACGCCCAAATCCGGACTGAGATAAATTTAAATATTCCTAAAGTGCAAACTAAACAATTTCTAAGGATACTGGCTGAGTTCCAATGTTTTGCTGTAACCACACAATCCTATACATGCTCACCAGAAGTCAGTTCCGTTCTGTTAAATAAGGCTTGCTTGCAGGTAGGCGTATTATAGGATGGCGGCCTAAGGCACAGAGAAATAAAAAAAAAAGATTTTATCCTTCTGTGGATGGAAGTGAGAATAGCAAGGAGAGCAAAAAGTATTCCAAATCTATGGCCATTAGGAATTGAATTATCTGCATCTCAGCTATCCAGACAGATTCGGGGATGATTTTTAAAAGTAACAAATCTTATTCAGAAAAACAACAACCCCAGAAGTAATGGAAAATTTCGTATAAAAAGATTCTGGGAATGAACATGGAACAGCTTAAACTTATGATCAGCATATTTACAACACCAAAATAAATGAGTTATTAATAAACATAGTTGTGTGTTATCTAAATAATTATTGCTTCAGCATTTTGTTCTGGGACCCAAACGAATTGAAAACCTCATTTATATAATTTACTAAATCCATAAAAGCTTGCCTGAGCTCAGCACAACTTGATTCATTTCTACTTCTACTAGTATTTAGAAACTTAAGATAAAGAATAAAAATAACTACAACTACCTGCACTGATTTTTGTATGGATTAAAAAAACAAACCAAGAAATATTCAGTGACTGAAGTAAAATCAGTTCTAAGGACAATCTTTGCCATCAGTCTTGCAAAAGAACTCAGCGGAGTCGTGACACTAAAACGAACAGTCAGAATTTATGAATGCTAGACAAGATTTCAGAATGGGTTGTGCTGTATATGGTGACAATAATTAACAATATTATTAGCCAACTGAAGCTGTAGTTGATTATTTGGAGTTGCAAATTAAGTGCATGCTTCTCTATATCTTGATTTTTTTTGTTTTTGTTTAGTGCAAAAGTGAACAGCAAAGTTGCCCTTTACTTTTCACTATAAACAGTAAGTCTCATTTATTAAATTGTAAGTTGTATTTTCTTCAGTACCTCAAAAAGACCCAGTCATTGCGGTTTTGGCAATCCGCAGATATATATAAATTTAACAAATGGAATGAGTAAGATTGTCAAATAACTAGAATTCTTTAATCAGTTGACAGGTTTCAATTTATGAAGCAGGCATCAAACTAACAGGACACATTTACAGAGGTTGTCTGAATAAGTAGAGTTGAAAGGGAAATTTTCTACCCATTTAAAATTTGCAGAGTCCTGAGGTTCATTTCTGACTTCTGAAATTTTGAGTGTTGGCAGATTTAGCATTTGAAATTCAGCTTTGATTGATACCTTAAAAAGAAAAAAAGAAAAGCTTGCATGGGTGAATTCTAATGCTGTAAATTACTGCCTTACTAAACCCAATATTTGCTTCTTTTTAAAATAAAATTAATAATTGAGAATTTCTTGCAGATTTATTTCCCCTCCTTACTATCTTTAGCTGTATTGGTGGTAGCAGCAGCAGCAGAACCACAATAATAATTATCATTATTTTCTTTTTGTAAACCGTACTGGGAATATGATTGAGGGGCACTATAAAACCAGTTATTAAAATATTAATAATTAATTGTTAGGAAGACTGAGGAGGGGAAGTATAAAATATGAATATGATGCAAACAAATGCAAGCTGAGATAATTTGCTTGGGAATTTTCCCCTGCAAATTTTGTTTGGCTCACAGGGACATCCTTGATGTGTAACATAAAACCTATGTGTTTTAATTCTCATTCTGACTGGATTTGAAACAACAGATTATTTGATTTCCAGTCCCTATAAGTTATGAGGGCTTTGCAACCTTTGGAACATGGGCAACCTCAAAAACTCTGAAACGGTATGTGAACACACTATAGTTTTAAGTTTTCAATATAGCCATTTATTATTATTATTATTATTATTATTATTATTATTATTATTATTTTACTGTTTGCTGTTTTTAAAGATTTCCTCAGATTTTCCCATATCTGTTCAAAATTGCTGGGATTTTGATACTTTTAATTAAATAGCTTTTACACTCATGTCTTGCACTTTCACTGTTCCCTTTTTCCTTCACTGGCAGCTAATTGGTCGTTTTCATTAACTAAAAAAGTGGGGTGGTGGTGCTTATTTATTTATTTATTTTAAACCCCTGTGACTCAAAATAGCAAGCACATCAACTCCTTCGGTGGCACAAAACTATCCAGAAGTAAAGGTGAAGCAAATAATTTAAGAATGTCATTGTTCTCCTCTTTCTTTAATTTCTGAGAATTCACAGCCCAATTGATAATTGTAGATGACGCCCAATGAATTGGACCCGACTTCACAATTGCACTGTAAGCCAGATCTTAAATAGATTGACACCAGCCACTCGTTCATTGAGCTGAAATCAATTTGCATTGAAATCTGTCAAGGTGCACAGACTTCAGAAATCCGAATTCGAATTGTGTTCTTCCTATGTCTGTTATGGGCTCTGCTGTAGAACTAGGTTTTAGTGATCAGTAATGTCTTCCATTCTAAGCATTCCTCAGGAACTGTGCTCCCACCCTGTGGTGGCGATTGCATTCCCGATTTGTTTCTTAAACCATTCTCCCCTTCTGTGAAACTTTCTCTGTTCGCAGACTGGAAGCGTGTTGCAAAACTTGAGGAAGTCATAGTGCATAAGCTGCATTTTCCTATTTTTGGCTTCCAGGTTTTTTAAAAAAAATAGTTTAAAGGGGGAAAAACCCACCACAAAATTACAGTAAATCAGTTGTAATCCCCGGGGAAACTCCAGAAAGGATGGTAGATTCAAAGTTATGAAAGAATGTGTCAATCCTGCTGTTGTACATCAGACTTTATCCATTCAGTAGCTGCATATGCAGGCGTAAATAAGGATGTGAAGTGTCATGGAGCAACCTCGAGTTACATCAGTTAGGAAATTTGGCCCCCTCTTCCTCTGTGTGTGTGGAATATGAGTTTCTGATAAAATGTGATAAGCCTATTGACCTGTTTGCTCAAGAGTTATCTCATCCAAACTTGTTCTTTCTTGGAACACAGGCGATTGGTTGATTCCAATCTGAGGAGGGACTCTCTGGCATTATAAAAGTAGCCCTCTTCTTTGCTTGGGAATAACACATTCTAGGCTTTTCAGAGAGAGAGAGAGAGAGATCGTGACAGGCTGAGAGCGGGGAAAAGAGAGAGAAAAGTGATTGAAAAGAAAGGAACTAGACCCATCGCAAGAAAGGAAGATGAAACTGCAACTAGTCTGCATGGTCTTCATTCTTCTCAGCGCTGCCACCAGAAACACTTGTGCCTTCAAACTTCAGGTGAGAATCACATTATAAATTATGAGGCAGAATTTATGAGACAATCTTCCTAGTCAAGTTCATCCAATGGAACTTAGGAGGCTATAGGAAGTCATGGGACTTCATAGGAAGTCAGATTATTGAAACATCTGGCTAGGGAACATCTGCACTTGCTGGACGTGTCTCTTCAAGGTTTTAGGCAGGAGATATTCCCAGTCCAACTTGGACATGCCAAGGTTCGGACCTGAGACCATCTGCTTGCAAAGCAGATCCTCTGCCAATGGTCTTTTGGTGTTGGCCAGTTTTGTATCATATAACTGAGCAAAGGCCCCCTTAACTAGGATAGAGCAGTCTATTTGTGAACCTCGTCACTTTTACATGTGTTCACTCATAAATCCGTTCCAGCCTGTTTCCATATATCATCAGCATCTTATATTGTTAGGTGTTTTTTTGTTTCTGTTTTAATCTTTCAAAATCTCTCTCTCTCTCTCTCTCTCTCTCTCTCTCTCTGTGTGTGTATGTGTGTGTATGGGATTGTTTTAAAAAGATATAAACTGTAATTATTATTATTATTATTTTAAAAAAATCCTTAGGAAATTTCACATCTCAGTATTATGTTTTGGATGCATTTTCTCTTAAAATGTGCATTTGTGGGGTTCTAAGGGACACGGGTGGCGCTGTGGGTTAAACCACAGAGCCTAGGACTTGCCGATCAGAAGTCGGCGGTTTGAATCCCTGTGACGGGGTGAGCTCCCGTTGTTCGGTCCCTGCTCCTGCCAACCTAGCAGTTTGAAAGCACGTCAAAGTGCAAGTAGATAAATAGGTACCGCTCTGGCAGGAAGGTAAATGGTGTTTCCGTGCGCTGCTCTGATTCGCCAGAAGTGGCTTAGTCATGCTGGCCACATGACCCAGAAGCTGTCTGCGGACAAACGCCAGCTCCCTTGGCCTATAGAACGAGATGAGCGCGCAACCCCTGAGTCACGACTGGACCTAATGGTCAGGGGTCCCTTTTATGCACACTTACCCCACTGAACTCAGTGGAACCTACCTGAGTAGATATGGATAGAATTGTGCTGTGAAAGTATTTTACTTGACAGCAAACATTTATTCCTGTACATCATTTAAAAATACACTTTGGAGTTCTTTTTTCGAGCCAAGAACTATGAAATTTCACAGAAAGCTTCGTTCCAATCCACATATTAGTCTAGCGGTATGACTCAGTGGCGCATAGCTTCACAATTAATTGTTTTGAGTTGCGTCGGACTCCATGAACTTGCAAGCTGATGGAGCTACTCTTAGGCCAAGCAGGGATGCCAACTTGATTAAAATATTTTTTTTGGGGGGGGGAGGTAATCCCCACCCTGCATAATTGACCACAAGACAAGGTACATGCACACCATTTGAATGGCAATGCCCATCAGCTTTGTGCGGGGGGGCGGTCCTCAAAAATATTGGGGGGGGGGCTGAAGGGACCTTGGCCCTTAGGAGTTGGCTCCTATGAGGCCAAGCATGGTGGCCACTTTGTGACAGATCTGGGGTGCCATGAAAGGTAGCAAATTGTTACTTTGTTAGCATTACCCAGTGCTATTTTTTTCTAGAAAAAAGAGGTGCCTGAACTCACCATGAGCACCTCCCTTGTTATCTTAGAATGGCAATGGTGCCCACCTGAGAGGTGCCGGAACTGAGTTCTGGAGAGTTCCTGCCCCGCAGAGCTACAATTGACAATTTTCTGGGAAGAGAGAGATTGATTGCTAACCCTCTCTGGGCACTGTAGCTCTGGGACAGGGGCTGGGATGGGGTCTCCTAACAACTCTCAGCTACTGTTATAGACCTCAGATCCCAGGTTTCTTAGAAGGGAGCCAGCACTGCTGAAGTGGTGTAGTTATGCTTTAAAGGCATGCTGTGAATCTGGCCATAGCTGAACCAGGGTACTCACTACACTGATACCAAGGGGAAGGCGCTGGCCGCTCCATCTCAGAGCACCAAATGTCTTGGGCTGGCTTTGCTTGAAGATAGCCTCACTTTCCTCAGCTTTAGCAACTTATCTACAATAAACGGGGACTATAACTGACTTTTGCAGGGTTTCGGCAAGGACTTCGGTTGTCCCTAGTCCTTGTTTTCTAAGATCAGTCCCTGAACAATCACAATTCTCTCCTCCCCCCTCTTCCGCCCCTTGCCTTTGAGGAAAACTTCATTTAGTTTTGTATTTTCAAGGCTGTTCCACATTCTCTAACTAGCCTTTCTCAACCTTTGGGTCCCCAGATGTTGTTGAACTACAACTCCCATCACCCCTAGCTAGCAAGGCCAGAGCTCAGGGATGATGGGAGTTGTAGTCCAACAACATCTGGGGACCCACAGGTTGAGAACCGCTGCAAGCAGTGGTGCAGGAAGGTCCTTTCAGACTGTGGACTTAATGGCCCCTCTCTTTAGATGGAAATGGATATTTAGGAACATAGGGAGCTGCCTTACATGGAGTCAGACCATTGGGTCCATCTATCTCAGTATTGTGCACATTGACCAGCAGTGGCTTTCCAGGGATTCAGATAAGGGTCTCTCCCAGCCCTGGCAACAAGAGGGGGAGAAAGATCAAAGGGATAGGAGAGCTCCAGTGCTCATAATCAACTGTTGATCCAGCTCAGCTCTTCAGTTTCTTAGCTTTGACAAATCAGGGTCCTAAGAAATTGAATAGAGGGACGCGGGTGGCGCTGTGGATTAAACCACAGAGCCTAGAACTTGCTGATCAGAAGGTCGGCGGTTCGAATCCCCGTGACGGGGTGAGCTCCCGTTGCTCGGTCCCTGCTTCTACCAACCTAGCAGTTCAAAAACACGTCAAAGTGCAAGTAGATTAATAGGTACCACTCCAGCAGGAAGGTAAACATCGTTTCCGTGCGCTGCTCTAGTTCACCAGAAGCGGCTTAGTCATGCTGGCCACATGACTCGGAAGCTGTACGCCAGCTCCCTCGGCCAATAAAGCGAGATGAGCTCCACAACCCCAGAGTCGGTCACAACTGGACCTAATGGTCAGGGGCCCCTTTACCCTTACCTTTAAGAAATTGAATGCTTTTGCAGCTCCCGGTGAAAGAAATTTCACTGAAACGCACCGAGTTGAATAAACAGTTGATTATCAGAAACATTATTTATCTTGGCTGCTTTTGGCTTCTCTCTCTCAGCCCTACCTGGAGACGCTAGGATTGAATCTGAGACGTTCTGCCTGCAAAGCGGATGTTCTCCCACTGACCCACCACAAAGAGAGAAGGGTGTTTATGAAACCTGATTCTAAACCAGGGTTTCCCAAACTTGGGTCTCCAGCTATTTTCGGACTACAAATCCCATCATCCCTGACCACTGGTCTTGCCAGCTAGGATGATGGGAGGTGTAGTCCAAAAAAACCAGCTGGAGGCCCAAGTTTGGGAAACCCTGGTCTAAACTTTCCTAACTGCGCCACTGTGCTGAGGGAGGGTGGGGAGAACAAGGAGGGAACCAGAGTTGAAAATGTGCCAAGTCTGGCTTTTCCCCAACCTGTGAAGTTTGGAAAGATTTCCCCCCTTCAGTAACAGATGAGCTAAAACAAATCCCCTCCTTCTTTCTCTTCACAGACAGATGTTGAGAAAGACCTCACGAGCTTGGATACGTACAAGACAGAGCCCAGGGCGAATACCGTTCAGGTGAGACCTATATCCCAGTGGTGCTTGTACTACCCAGTGTGAAGGCAAGGGGGCAGCATGGTGCAAGGAGAAATAGATGTCTCTCTCAGCACCACACTAAGATCCTTTGGCATGCCAGGCTATATTCCTGAATCTTGCTTTAGAGTAATGCAGCCTCGAAGGAGAATGCAATTCTGGCTTCTCCTGCCCTTCCTTTTGTCCCCACTCCCCACTTAAATCCCTTAAAAACAAAACAAAAAAACAAAATGCCCATTCAGAAGAGAGGTTCTCTGTACAGGCTCAGAAGCATTCAGCTTGAGATACCTAGATTTAGTAAAATAAAATAAAATAAATTGTGGCAGCCCTACCTAATGACAGCCGATTAGGACCCTGAGAAGTCTAATTTGTCCTGGAATATAGAAAGCTCTCTTCTACTAGATCAGATCTGCCTGGCACACCAGGGTGTCAGGATGATCATTTTCTCGTGATCTTTTTTAACAAAAGATGCCCGTGGTTTGAATCAGGGATCTTCTGAGCTATGGCTCTTCTCTCAGGGCTTGTCCATACTTCCTCAATCCCACACCTAGAAAGCCTATCAGGTTTTGTTTCCCCCTCTGCTTTCCCTTTCCTGAGAGAAAACAGTAGCAACTCTTAATTCCACTTGTTTCAATTACACTATTGGTATTACTGATTTATTTTTATTTATTTATGCTCCCGTGCTTTATATTATCTGTTGTTTCGTATCCGAGCCTAGTTGTAAACCCCCTTTTAACTTCATTTGGGAAAAAGGAGTATACAATCTGTACCTCTTTCCTTAATAAACAAAACCAGGCCAAGCCCGGCTCGCAAACTTTGGCCCAAAAAATGCCCATAGACCCTTTTCTGAGGTAAACATGAGTGACTATTAATTTCGTTCATTTTAAATTCCACTAGTGAATAGACCATACCCTCTGACCTTTCTTCAATGGAAACAGAGATGTCCCATTCCATAATGATCATTTTACTATTTATAACCCCACACATCTGACTGGGTTGCCCCCAGCCACTCTGGGCAGCTTCCAACATATACAAAAACATAACAAAACATTTTTTAAAAGGATTGCCTTCAGACAGCTCCGGAGTCAAATAACACCATACCCTCTGATATTTCCCCAATGAAAATAGGAGAAGGAAAAGCGGGACATCCTGGGATCAAATCAGAAACCGGGACGGCTTCTCTAAATCAGGGATGTCCCTGGAAAATAGGGACATTTGGAGGGGCTGCTATAGGTCTTACTGGTTTATTTATTTATTATTGTTTTACTTTATTTGCGCTTTGTATTCAATCCTCATTGTGAGCCTCATTTTAAGCATATATGGGGAGGGCAGACTGCAAAACGAATAAATGAATCCGTTAATAACGGGCTCTTTCTTCTCGCCACCACAGGCATTGCTACGGAGAACCAAGCGCTTCAACAGCCACTTCCCCACCTGCCGCTACTGCTGCAACTGCTGCAGAAACAAAGGATGTGGCATGTGCTGTTGGGCCTGAGGGCCCAGGATGACTTCGGCACCGCCGGGCCGCTCCCCATCTCAGCACCACACACACACCAGGCTCCCCAAACTTGCCCCCCACCCCGTACTGCTCCCTACCACCTTCAACAAATTTTTCCTTATTTATTAGTTTGGCACTGTTTTTTTCGTTTGCTCGCTTTGTGCGCTCTCGTTTGTTACTGTTGGGAATTAAAGCGTTTTTACCACACGACTGTCTGCGAGGTTTGTTCGGGGGGGGGTTACCTCACAGAGTGTTTGTGATTACTTTTTACCTCACAACTGCCATTGCGCTCTGCTGGCAGGGGGAGGTGGGAGTTTTAGTCTCAAGCACATATGGGGAACATAAGGTTGTCAAAGGCTTGTGTCCTCTGCCGTCCTCTGGTGGCAACTCTCCAGGGCTTCAGGTGCAGATTCATCTAAATCGGTCTTATTTTTTCTTCTTCTTCCTTATCTTCTACTGGCTGATGCAAGTAATCTACGACCATAGCCTCCCTGTCAGGTAGCCACCCGGTTTTTGCTTTAAAAACCCCTCTAACCATGAATAACTCCCCATCTCCCAAGGATGGTTGTTTCACTGTCAAAGGGCTAAAGCAGTCAGCAGGTCATTCCAAATGTTTAACCAAAATCCTCTTGTAAATTGAACCCAGTGGCTGGCCCTTCAGAGCATCAGAACATACACTTGCTCAATCACCTATATAAAAGCCCTTCAAATATTTGTAGATGAGTATCGCATCACCTCTTAAGAATTCCTTCTCCAGGTTAAATGTTCTTGAGTCTTTCAAGCTAAGGTTTGGTCTCCTCATGAGGTTTTGGTCTCCGGTGTTTCAGCTCAGGATGCACATGTGATGAAGACTGGCGTTAAACTAATGTGAGATTTCTGTGCCTTTGGATAAAAATATTTATACAACTGGATTCTGCACATTACCCCAATTGCAGTGGACATAAGTTTGAACTTATGGGGGGGGGGTTGGGGGTTGCATACCCTCCAACATTTCTCCAATGAAAATAGGGACGTCCCATTTCATAATGAAAATTTTACTATTTATACCCCCCCCCCAACATCTTACTGGGTTGTTTCAGCCACTCTGTGCAGCTTTCAACATATATAAAAAACAATAAAACATTAAACATTTAAAAAAAAACCTTCTCTATACAGGATTGCCTTCAGACAGCTGGGGGAGGGGGAGAGAAACCTCCATACCCGTCAACATTTCTCCATTGAAAATAGGGGCATCCTGAGGAAAAGCGGGACATTCCAGGATCAAATCAGAAATTGGGACGGTTTTTCTAAATCAGGGACGTCCTTGGAAAATAGGGGCACTTGGAGGGTCTGGGGTTGTATGTGTAGTGCTGCCTTTCTGTATATCATAGTATTGCTTGTGAAAATGTTTCAACACCTTAAAATTTATGAATAGAAGGGAAATGTAAGCATGAAAAACCAAAGTGTGGAAAAGGGAATTTCATGCATAGAGGCCCAGAATAAGGTGTACTCAGACCAGTGGGGGTTCCAGACTTCCAAACCTAAGGTCACCCTGGAGGAGATGCACAGAAAGTAGACTGAAGTGGGTGGGGGGTTTCCTGTGCGCTCCAAAGGTAACCATTTAGGAAAACTTTAAGCACAAGGTGCTTCGGTCTCAAGAGAACGGTGTGCAACTTTTGTCATGTACATTGCCACTTCGTTGAAAAAACCACTTACCAAAACGTTTGCCCATGTGTACTTGCACAAAAAATAGGGGATCTTGCTGAAAGGCAAGACATGGAGATCTGCACTGATTGTTGCAATGCATTCGTTGTTGTTGTTGTTGTTGTTGTTGTATAATTATACAGTAGTACCTCGGGTTAAGAACTTAATTCGTTCCGGAGGTCCGTTCTTAAGCTGAAACTGTTCTTAACCTGAAGCACCACTTTAGCTAATGGGGCCTCCTCCTGCTGCTGCGCCGCCGGTGCATGATTTCTGTTCTTATCCTGAAGCAAATTTCTTAACCCAAGGTAATATTTCTGGGTTAGCGGAATCTGTAACCTGAAGCGTATGTAACCTGAAGTGTATGTAACCCAAGGTACCACTGTAATATTATTGTATAATCTTAGAAGGGGCGTGGGGGTGATTATCAGAAAGAGACCCCGAACTTCTAAATTTTCCACTACGCTACTGCTGATGAAAGCAGTAGTTTTGGGAAAGTCCTGATGGCTGGGTCTAGAGGGGCCTGGAGGGTGACATTTGACCTGTGCTGTGCAGTGGCAGAAAGGGAACTGCTTTATTTCTGACTGTCATGTAGCTGTTCAGACAGGAGCCTGGTTGGGAAAGGAAACACAGCAACCCCTAATCTTCTGTGTGCTTGAAGAAGTCTTCTGTTTAAGGACGCCTCCTGCCACCACCCCTGCTGAGAGATCTCCATGGCACCCTCCTTGCCACCCCCAAATTAATCACAGTAATAAAAGCCACAGATTCATGCTGAAAGTACAAAAATAGAGACATATACTTTGAAAGTCTTGACAGTAAAATCCACTGACACAATGGGCTCAGCACAGCAGGAAAGACCTCAGCCATAGAAAAAAAGAGACAGGATTAGAGTAGCACGACCCTCCAAACACCCTTCAGCCGGCTGTCTTGGAGGGGCTCAGTGCCATTTGCTATCCCTCTCGCAGCAAGAAATCCCAGGGGTGAGGATCAATAATACTTCCTCACAGAAAGGAGCCTCAGGGGGTAAGGTCATAAATATTCCCCCTCATGGACTGGGAACTGGGGTTCTACACCCAAGAACATATCCCTGGACACACACACAAAGAGCAGGAAGTCCTGAGAGTTAATACTAGTATTTTGTTTTCCCTGCAGCAGGGAGTCCCGAGGGTTTATACTAACAATACTCCCCCAGGGAATTGTAGGAGGTAACCGTTGCATGGAGGGAGCCCCAGAAGATTTATTTGGGCGTACAAATTTGACACCATCCCTCCCTCCCCCCACGGCTCTCCTACTCAATCACCCCCATTGGTCTAGCTAGCATTACTTCTAGTTATTATACAAGCACTTGTTAAATAGAAAAAAAAAGGAAAAGGAAAGCATTTGGACAAAAGTTCTCTCCTTCCTCGGGTCAGACGTTGGAGTAAATCTGGTCGGTTCCAGAGGCGGGCTGCCAGTTGCCCAGGTTTCCGTAAAGTCCAGTCAGCTCACCGGCTGATACATTTTCATAATCTTCAGCCACCGCCATGGATTCGTAGGCCTTCGTGCTCAGATCCTAAAAAGAAAAAAGAGAAAGGAAGGGTTTTAGTCCATTTGAAGCACATGGCTTTCCCTAAAGAAGCCTGGGAACTGTAGTTTACCCTTCTCACGGAGCTACAGTTCCCAGCACCTGTAACAAACTACCTGATATGAACATAATTCAGACCCTTAGATTGCTTTCGGAGGCCCTTCTCCAGTTCCCCCATCTGAGGGAGGCTCAGAGGGCAGTGATAAGGAAGAGGAGCCTTTTTAGTTGAGGCTCCCCATTTGTGAAATGTGTTTCCCCCAGTGAGGGCCACCTGGTGTCTTTGTCGACATATGTTTTGGCACCAAGTAAAAACTTATTTCCCCACCTAACTGTCCAGGCTTTCGATAGACTAAGATGGGCGCTGTTTTGTTACAAGTGTGTTGCCCAGGCTTCCTGTGGTAGGGTTGTTTTGATCTGTTTTCATGGTGTGATGGTCTCAAATTAATAATAATAATATGATTGCTTTGGAGAAGCTGTATGTTGCCAGTGGCAGACCTACACTTGGGGGGGCTGAACTGCCATGGGGGCCCCTTCGCAACCAGCAACAAAGTCTGGGTAACCTCTATTATCATCATCAGTGGGGTTGTTCCACATCAGATCACCAAACCTTTACAACATCTGCAGTACTGACTCTCAGACTTTGGGATTGTTGAAATATATACAACAAGTCATCTTCTTTAACAAGATAGCTCAGTTGGTAGAGCATGAAACTCTTAATCTCAGAGTTGTGGGTTTGAACCCCACATCAGTCATTGCAGAGGGGTCAGACGAGACCCCTTCCAACTCTAAAGGTAAGGTAAAGGACCCCTGGACAGTTAAGTCCAGTCAAAGGCGACTATGGGGTTGCGGCACTCATCTCATTTTGAGGCTGAGGGGAGCCAGTGTTTGTCCACAGACAGCTTTCATGTGGCCAGAATGACTAAACAGCTTCTGGCGCAACGGAACACTGTGATGGAAACCAGAGCGCACGGAAATGTCGTTTACCTTCCCGCCACAGCTGTACCTATTTATCTACTTGCACTTTGATGTGCTTTCAAACTGCTAGGTTGGCAGGAGCTGGGACAGAGCAATGGGAGCTCACCCCATGGCAGGGATTCGAACTGCCAACCTTCCAATTGGCAAGCCCAAGAGACTCAGTGGTTTAGACCGCAGCGCCACCTGCATCCCTAACTCTACAGTTCTATGATTCTATGAAATAATAATAATCAATTTGAGTCATGCAACTCATATGGGATCTCATAGTTTTTAAGCAATGTGGACGAAAGCAAGTTCTGGGGTTCCTCCAGGATTAGGAGCCCGAGGCTTAAGTTTCATTATAGAATTATAGAATTGGAAGGGACCCTGTGGATCATTTCATCCAATGCACTGCAATGAAGGAATATGCAGCTGTCCCACACAGGGAGCGAACCGGCAACCTTAGCATTATCAGCCCCACACTCTAACCAACTGAGCTATCAGGGCTGAGCTAGTTTCACAGTAGATCCGCCCCTGAGTATTGTACTGCCCTGAGCCTTCCCCTACATTGTCAGCAGCTGGGCTTCCTCCCCCCTTCGACTTGCTGTACATGTTGAACTGCTCCTCTTTCTTCTTGGACCTGGAGGGCTTCTCTACTTTGAGAGACGTCTTCTGCTCTCCATTTTCATCCGTGACATACAGCGTAGGGTCCTCCTGCTCCTCGTCTTCCTCTTTCTTCTGCCCCTTTTTTCTAGTGGCAGAAAGGGAGGAGTGAAAAGAAAAAAAGTGATGTTATAAGTGGGATGTGGGGATAAGGTTGCCAACCGATAGCGGTGGGAGAATCTAGCACCGTTCATGGAAGACTGATGCAGGTGAAGCTTCCCCAGCCATGGGGATCAACTGCTCATGTCTGCAGATCAGGCTTCTCTGAAAGGCGCAGGAGCATCAGCCTGTAAAAAAAGTTGGCAACCCTCCACAGTAACGGAGACAGGGGAGAGGGTGGGGGAAGAGGGTACATAAGCCGGTTTTTGCTAAATAATGAAAGCTAGCATCTACTTGCTAACAGTGCTGTGGATGAAGCCAGCTGCTCACCTGCTTTTCGTCACCTTGTAGATAATCGTTCCCAGCAGGGAGAAGAAGAGGAGGCCCCCAACGGCACCCCCAGAGGCCATGAGCAGGAGGGTGGTGTCCCCTGCAAAAAGAGACAGTGAAACCTGGCGGCTGTCCTTTGCAAAGAGGCCGTCCGCAGGCAGATGAGATTTAAGGTCCCTTTTAGCAGTCAGCTGACTGGCAGAAATCCAGGTGGTACCTTCTCCATGACAGCTTCACCTGTTGGATGCTAAGCCTGCCAGAAAGGTCAGCATCAGCCCCTAGTATCCTTGGCCATCAGCCAAGCCCCCAAGTCACTGGTGGTGCCTGCCTTTGGTCCTCCATCCCTTTTTGGTCCAGGATTCCAAAACGTGTCCCATGGCTTGATTTAGCCATCCTTCTAATTTCCCACAATTCCTCTGGCTTACTGCCACTCTGAGGCATCGTGGGGAATAAAACGAATGTCTAGACCAGGGGCAGTCAACCTTTTTTTACCTACCTCTCACTAATGCATATTTCTTAATGGTCAAATTTCCTTACCGCTCACCAGTGGTCGATGGAAGGAGGATTCAGCTTGTGCCATAGAACCCCCTACCGACCACCTAGAATCCTGAAATGCCCACTGGTGGACGGTAGGGACCAGGTTGACAACCTCTGGTCTAGACCTAGAGCACAGAGCACCGCCATTTCAGAAGTGCAGGGGTTGGGTGAGGGTGGGGAAAGGTCTGGATCTCGACCGTAGCATGGAGAAAGGGTTTTATAACCCTCCTCTGATATGGATTGTTCCCCACACCCACAGCTCCTGCGTCTCCCGTTTAGTAAATAAAACAGCTAGGAAGCAAAGGCCCAAACCCATCACATGTAGTTCAGCCCTTACATGTGGTGAATCTACTTAATTCGCACATCTTGGAACTCTGTACTGTAACCCTTTCAAAATTTGCACTCTTCTGACTTTTGCAATGTAGTACTCCAAACAATTAATGTGAGTAAAACTGCATATACTAGTTAAGAGGGGGAAATGCATTGTATGAGGGGAAATTGCTTTCAAAAATGTGCACATTGGGAGAGATTCATACTAATTCACACTGACGTATCCTCATACCAACTTTTTTTATATAATTGTGAACTGATGTGGAGAACTGAATATTGGAAAAATAAGAAACTGAGAGAGACCCAAAGTGACAGATTTGTCCCCATGTCTCATGGAGATAATTTGTGTTGCATGCAGAAGATGCTCAGCCGGCATCTCCATATAGTGCTGAGAGCTGCTGCCAGCCAGAGCTGACAATATTGAGCCAGATGGACCAATGGTCTCACTTGGTTTAAGGCAGCTTCCTATGTTCCCAGATACCTCTTATTAGCACTTAGACCTTACTTACCTGCCTGGATGGTGGGCAGTGTGATTTGGCTTGGCCCGTGTTGGTTGGTAGCTGTGCAAGACACGTTGGTGAGGCTGGAGGTGGGGCCTGTCAATATCCCAATGATGGCCTGTCCCCAGGAGACTGAGGCTGCCTGCAGCTCAGAGCTGTTGAACTCCCCAGGAACGGTACGGTTTGGTAGGCGCCACTCGATTTCGGGTAAGGGGTTTCCCTCGGCTATGCAGTAACACGTTACTATCTCTCCAGTCCGTGACAGGGTGCAGTTCCCTTGAGGCAGGATCACTGGCTTATCTGCAAGGATGGCAGAGGGATATTTTAAAAACTAGAACAACCACACGTCACAGTGTGTGTTCCCATGGTCCAAGCTGCTACACTTCCAAAAGCTTAAAAGGTTTTAAAATGTGCACTTAATGCAGCCTTGCAAATAAGTACTAGCCTGCAAGAGTTTTTTTTACCAGTTTACTGAGGCTAGTAGAGCAGGGAAGAAGACAGAGACGTAAAGGGCTGAAAAAGTGGGTGGGGAAATAGTTTCCCCCATTCCCCTGTCCCATCATTTAAATCTCTACACAATATACCACACACCACACATTTAACACACACAACTTTCCCCCAAAGAATCTTGGGAACTGCAGTTAGGGGTGCTGGGAACTGTAGCCCTGTGAGGGGTAAACTATAGTTCTCAGGATCATTGGGGGAAGTCACATGCTTTAAACTGGAGGCCTCCCCCCCAACGTTGGGCGCATCTCGGTGCCTCTGCTTAACATGCATTATCGGGTTGTGCCTGGTGGGCAGAAATTCATCCGGGAAAGCTTTCCCAGGCATGGAGATGCCATAACAGCAGCAACAACAAAAATCACCCATTGCGTTTTTACAAAAGCATAGGAGCTCCAGGCGAAGAAAAAGGTGGCAACTTGACATCATAAACATGAACTTGGTGTGACTTTGCCACTAAGCCCTAAGTAGGCCACGGATAAATACGGTGATATTGAAACAAGAAATCAAAGCCTCTCCTTACACTCCACGTTGAGGTAGGTGGGCGGCGAGTCTTTCCCCATCCCGACATCATTCTCTGCAACACAGTGGTATGGCCCCGAGTCCCTCCGCACATCTGCCAGGGTCACCTCTGGCCCAACACCTGCTGCCCGCAGTGGTGCTTTGCGAGGCCCGAAGAACCACCGGTAACTGACGGCCGGGGGATTGCTCTGGCTGCTGCATCGGAGGGTGACGCTGTCTCCTTCTTTCAGGTTGGGGTTCCCCACGACGGAGACGACAGCATTTTTGGGAGAATCTGAAAGAGTCCGTCAGAGTAGGATAGAGGTAAATGGAAACCCATTTTTGCTGCTAAGGCTGCACACTCCATCCTACGCCTCACCTATTGATCCCAACGCCTCCGTCTGCACCTGCTGAATTTCTACCTGTTTTCCAGGAATTAAAGGTGCAGGCTCACACAAAAAGGGGGATAACACCATATGGTTGCAATGGGTGACGGGGGTCACACCATGTATTGAAAGCACACAACTTTCCCCAATGAATCATGGGCTGCTAGGAATTGTAGCACTGTGATGCTATAGTTCTCAGGATTGTTTTGGGGGGGAGCCATGGGCTTTAAACGCATGGTGGGGGGGTGCTAAATTGTGCTACAAACATCTTGTTTCTATGCTTCAGGTGGGTTTAGAAAATTATTGTTCAAACCCCCTCCACCCTTTCCCAGACTTTCCTAAACAGCAGGAATCTTTTCACCTTAGATTAAAAAACATGCCCACTTTCATTTATAAAGCTAGCAAGTAACTAGTCCTCACAGTAGCTGGAAGAAACCGTCTTAACAATTTAAAATGAGAGCTGACTTTCAAGGGCAGAGCATCCATTGCTTTGAAGTGAAGGGGGCCTTCTGACCAAGTCTCCACCCACAGTACTGTGTCCAGACACTCACATTTAACCTGCAGGTAGATTCCATTGCTAGACTGTTGCTGGTTTGGGAAGGTGGCTGTGCACTGCAGGTATTTGCCATGATCTTTGTGCGAAGGGATGTAGCTGAGCCCTGATTCCGTCCGCCAGGAACCCCCAGCAAGACGTTCCTGGACTGTGGCAGCCTTGCCTCCCACAAGGTTCCAGGTCAGAGTAGGTGGAGCCAAGGGGCAGGTGTGCAGGGTTGAACAGGTGATCAGGGTGCGGTCGCCTTCGGTCAGTAAGCCTGGGTCACTCATCTCCAGTTGCGACGGAGTGTCTGCAAGCAAAAAGGCTACAAATCAGCCTGAGGACCACATTCCATTGTGAGAAATCTTTCAGGGGGCACGTGCCAGCGGTGGACGGGGTCAGGCCAGAGGCAAAAGTGGGCAGAGCATTCCTCTCCCACACCCTTCTCAAACTTCCGTCCAGGTACGCAAGAGGCATGATCAGAGTTCAAGGACGTATTCCAGCCAGGCAAAATCTCTCAAGGAGGGTGGGAAGAAAGGGCAGTGAGGGGTGTGGCCTGAGGATGGGGTGTGGTCTGGGAAGAGTCCTGAGGGCCAGAAAGAGATGGCAAATTTGGGGACTGGCCATGAGATTCCTCCACGAGCAAGCGAGAGACCGGGATGCAGCAGGGATGGGAAGGGGGTCTTCCGGGAGAAGCGATAGTCACGTGACACAGGGAGGGGGGAGGCTGAGCTCCCACCTAATCCTCCCCACAGAAAGGGGGTGTCAAGCCCCATGGGTCATGTGACATGGGCAAGGAGTGGTTGGGGGGTCCTAGCCAGGTGGGGGTGGTGATTGAGTCAGGAGGCCTGAGATGGGGCAGCTTGTAAGGTGAGGCCCCTATTTCAGGGTGGGGGTGACCGGGGGGAGCTTGCCTCTTAGCAAAGTGGGTGGGGGGCGTTGGAGGGGAGCCCATGTGGGGAGAGGCAGGAGCCTTTGGGGGGGTTGAGTTTGGAAGGAAGTTCTGAGGGCAGGAAGGGGGAGGAAGAGGCTCAGGATGGAGGCGAGAGGTTCTTGTTTTTGTTTTTACTATGCCTTTTGTGTTTTTATGTTGTGAACCTTCCTGAGACCTGCAGGTATAGGGCGGTATGAAAGTTTAAGTCATCATCCTCATTAAATCATCATCACTACTCCCCGGCCTGGATGCACGGGTCCTCCTCACCTGCTACGTCCACCCGGACCGTGACGTCGTAGAAGCGGTGTTTAACCGAATCGGGGTTGATCCAGACATAGTAGCTCATGGCATCCTCGCTGCGAACAGGGTTGATGCTAAGGGTGCAGTTCCCCATCTCTAGGTCTCCCAGGACCTCCGTCCGCCCCTGGTACTCCGACAGGACGCTGCCCTGGCTTTTGCTGTTGTAGATTTCAGGGTACCCTCTCGACCGGTACTGATACCAAGCCACACTGAACTTGCCACCCCAGGAATCGCGGGAACCTGGGAAGGTGAACGAGCAGGGAATGACCACACAGGAGCCCTTCAGGGCTTGGATGGAGCTAGGCAGCATGGACGTCCAGGCATCAGAAACAGGGCTGTAAAACAGAACTGGAGGAAAAGGTGCAGGGAACAGGGAGAGAGCCTTTCAGCGGGTCTTTAAGTGGTTGTGGAATACTCAAGAGTACACACCACCAGTACCACTTTTATTAGAAGGAAAGCATTGCTAAAGACCCAGTTCTATATTGTGCGACATGAACTTCCTGATAAGACCTGCCAGCAACAAGGAACCTACCTAGGAGACATGCCAGTGGGAGACCTTTGCCGGAGAGTCTCATGTTGTGAAGCACCTCTGAGTTCGCAGCCCTGAGAGAGGCTCAGGGCTGGGGGAATGGGAAATCCGTCTCTTCTCCGTCATGCACAGCGAAGCCCGCGGGTGAGTTGGGAGAAGGAAAAGCTGGAGGAAATTAAAGAGAAGTCAAGAAAATCAGGTGTGCGCCAACTTTGATTCTCCATGGGAGCCAGCATGGTGTAGTGGTTAGAGTGTTGAATTAGGACCTGGCAGACTAGAGGATGGAAGCTCCTTCAGAGCTCTCTGTCCCTCTTTGGTCTTACTTAAACTGGGCTAGTAAGTTCTTCCCAGGCTAGTAACTTTAGTGAGCTTATTTGCAAGGCCTGACCAAGGAACAGATTTGTTAAATGTTCTGGATTTTCTGAATTGCTGCCAGGATGTTCAGACTGAGAGCTGTGTGTGTAGAGAAGCGTAAAGAAGCAGCTTGTCTTTAATGGACGTCCAGGATTTCACAAAACTTTGAAATACACAGTTTTATACTTTGGCATCTTTCTTTGGCCAAATTTACATGGCCTTTCCCCATTTTTCCTCCTGGCACGATGTGTCATTCTGCACCGAACACACGTCTCAGCTGTCTTACAGTGCAATCCAAGCCATGTCTGCTCAGAAGTAGGGCTGAAGGAGAAATTCAACCCAGTTTGCCTTCACAGGGGAACCTACATAATGCACAGTTCCCAAAACAATATGCAAACTGAAGCAGCCGTCCTTCGAAATCTGCCCTCTGAATTTTGCAATGCAGTTCTCCATCAAAGTATTGCATACAAAGATGCATATACTGGGGTAAAGGGTGCAAAAAGATACAAACAGTAGCAAAAAGAGCATACAAAATTACAGAAAACTGCTTTGCAGAAATATGCATAACAGGCGAAAATTGCAAACGAAAAAGGTTAATATTAGGAAAAATTCACACTGAATTGCGGGCGAATCCTCACGATAATTTTTAAAAATGAAGATTTCCAACTAATGAGGAAATGCAGAAAACTGGATTTAAAAGTGGGCAAATTAGAAACTGAGGAAAAACCAAAATGGACAGACTTGCCCATCCCTACTCATAAGTAAGTCCTATTAACTTCAATGGGGCTTACTCCCAGCCTTAGGTGGATATCCCAGAGGTGGAAAGGGCGCAGAGAAGGGCAGTCAAAATGATCAGCTCTTCTATGACTGAAAGATTACAATTGTTGGGGATTTTTAATTTAGAGAAAAAAGTGAGGAATGGGGGAGCTTGATAGAAGTGTAGCAAACTATGCTTGATGTAGAGAAAGCAGACGGAACAAAGATTTTCTCCCTCCCTCATAATGCTAGAAGCTGCAGGCATCCAATTAATGGTAGGAGATTCAGGGCAAGAGAACTGCAACAGAGCATCTCTGTCTTGCAAGGGCTCTGACTGTTTTCATGCAAAAACAGAAGCTCTAGCACTGCCCTATGACCCTCACAAAGTAAGATTTAACCGCCAGTCGAATCAACTTTTGTATGTGGATTGGTGAGGTGGGGCAGCATCTAATCCTTTGCCTCAGGCAGCAAAACATTTTGGGCTGCCCCCAGCCATGAGAGGTGAAGCTCCCTGTTGCTGGATTCCTGCCCATCTCAAGGCTGTTGAAAGCCCATCCAAAAACAAAAACCCCAATTTAACTTCCTTGCTGCAATGTGAAGATGTCGAAACGCCAGGCTCCTGGCAAAAGTCTCCAAGGCCTGGAGAAACTGGGATAAAGAGCCTTGCAAGAGACTAAAATAGCGCAAGAAAACACAGCCTGCTGGGCTCCCTCCCTTGCCAGGAATTGCAAATTGATGGAAAGCGAAAGCTGACTATGGCAAATGTGATGTGCAATGGGGCACTTCAACTCCCATCATTGCAGAATGCACAAAAAAGGATACATTTCCTACAAAAGAGACACAAAACTTTTGATTCCTGAATATGCTAAATCATGGGTAGGCAAACCAAGGCCCAGGGCTGGATCCGGCCCAATTGCCTTCTAAATCCAGCCCGCGGACAGTCCAGGAATCAGCGTGTTTTTACATGAGTAAAATGTGTCCTTTTATTTAAAATGCATCTCTGGGTTATTTGTGGGGCCTGCCTGGTGTTTTTACATGAGTGGAATGTGTGTTTTTATTTAAAATGCATCTCTGGGTTATTTGTGGGGCATAGGAATTTGTTCATTATTATTTTTCCAAAATATAGTCCGGCCCCCCACAACGTTTGAGGGACAGTGGACTGGCCCCCTGCTGAAAAAGTTTGCTGACCCCTGTTAAAGCTATCCCATATTAGAAATGCTGGGAAAGCCAGCCGCATTTATTTTTTTATCACAGGTTTTTATGGGCATTTCTTTTCTACACATTGTTTTCCTCCTTCTTTGTATTCTTGCCCTCGCTTCCCTGTCCCCCACTCCCAATATTTGTACATTTCTAAGAGTAAACACACCCTTTTTTCTTTTTCTTTTTAGCAGGGGGGATACAGCTTATACCAAGTAAGCACATCTTGGGTGGGTGAGTATAGAAGTGTTTGTTCTGCGGTGCTTCCTCAATGTTACTACTGTCTGGAGAGGCACTCACTATAGCAGAACAACACCCCGCCCCCCCCCCCTGCACACACAAACCAGAATATTTGTAGGGCAAAAAGTTGCAGTATTTCAGCAGGATGTTATGGAGAACTGGAATCAAAGCAGTATGCCGACCACAAAAAACTTTTGCAGGCACAAACAGTTATTGAAAGCAGGACTTTTACACCCTGATGCCATCAATACATGTGGGCTCTGGGCACATTCATACCTTAAAATTCAGTTAGCGCCACATTTCTAGGGGCATCCCTGATTTAGAGAAGCCATCCTGGTTTCTGATTTGATCCCGGAAAGTCCCACTTTTCCTTAGGATGTCCCTATTTTCATTGGAGAAATGGTGGAGGGTATGGAGTTATCTAGTTAGCTAGTGATGTATGGAAGTGAGAGCTGGACCATAAAGAAGGCTGATTGCCGAAGAATTGATGTTTTTGAATTATGGTGCTGGAGGAGACTCTTGAGCGTCCCGTGGACTGCAAGAAGATCGAACGTATCCATTCTTAAGGAAATCAGCCCTGAGTGCTCACTGGAAGGACAGATCGTGAAGCTGAGGCTCCAATACTTTGGCCACCTCATGAGAAGAGAAGACTCCCTGGAAAAAGACCCTGATGTTGGGAAAGATGGAGGGCACAAGGGGACGACAGAGGACGAGATGGTTGGATAGTGTTCTGGAAGCTACCAGCATCAGTTTGACCAAACTGCGGGAGGCAGTGGAAGACAGGAGTGTCTGGCGTGCTCTGGTTCATGGGGTCACGAAGAGTCGGACACGACTAAATGACTAAACAACAACAACAACAACATGGAGTTATCTGACCCCCGAGCTGTCTGAAAGCAATCCTGTATTAGGGAAGTTTTTTTAAAAAAAAGTTTAATGTTTTATTATGTTTTTATATACGTTGGAAGCTGCCCAGAGCGGCTGGGGCAACCCAGTAAGATGTGTGGGGTATAAATAGTACAATTATCATTATGAAATGGGATGTCCCTATTTTCATTGGAGACATTTTGGAGGGCATGCACATTCACGACACAATGATACCACTTTAAACAGTCAAGGCTTCTCCCCCAAAGAATTCTGGGACTTGTAGTTTGTTAAGGGTGTTGAGAGTTGTTACCAGTCCCCCATTCCTCTCACGGAGCTACAATTCACAGAGCAGTTTAACAACTGATGCCTCTTTTTTCAGCGTACTCTGGAAACTGTACATCTGGCAAGAGAATGGGATGTGTGCATCTGTTAACAACTCTCAGTCCCTTTCACAAACTACAGCTCCCAGAATTCTTTGGGGGAATGCCATGACTGTTCAAAGTGGTCTCATGTTGCTTTAGAGCAGGCATCCCCAACCTGCGGCCCTCCAGATGTTTTGGCCTACAACTCCCATGATCCCTAGCTAACAGGACCAGTGGTCAGGGATGATGGGAATTGTAGTCAAAAACATCTGGAGGGCCGAAGGTTGGGGATGCCTGCTTTAGAGGCATGGTGTGAATCGTACTCACATTTACCAACTTTGGCATAATGTTTTCCCATAATATTTTGTTCTATAGCAGGAGTCAGAAACTTTTTCAGCAGGTGGCTGGTCCACTGTCCCTCAGACCTTGTGTGGGGACAGACTATATTTTGAAAAAAATAAATGAACGAATTCCTATGCCCCACAAATAACCCAGAGATGCATTTTAAATAAAAGCACACATTCTACTCATGTAAAAACACACTGATTCCCGGACCATCTGCGGGCCGGATTTAGAAGGCAACTGGGCCGGATCCAGCCCCCGGGCCTTAGTTTACCTACCCATGTTCTATAGGGAGGGAAAACATACTTTTTATCAATTCGGATTAGAACTGGCTTTGGGCGAAATGTGTTGAAATGCAGTATTTCGGACAGGATAGATGCTGGCTGTGTGTGCACCACATCCTAAGTGAGTGGTGGGAGCACACTGGGTGCGGCGAGAGCCACTCAAACCCCAAGCCGCCTCTGGATAGAACAGGTTTGCTCTGGAGTTCATCCACAGGCTCACTGGGATGCAGCAGGCACACAGAGAGAGAGACACACAGAGGCGCGTGAGCCAGCGAGCGCTTGGCCCCTGAAGGTGCTGGCAGGCTGCCAAGTCCCAGCTCCCAGCCTCTGTGGCGAGCACCAGAACCTCAAACGCCAGGCAGTCACCTCTAGCACGGCTCAGTTAATTGTTGCCTGCAGCTGAGCGCCCCCAATCGTTTGAGATAGCCCACTCCCCTCCACAGAAAAACACACACAAACCAAACAGCAGCTGCCCCCTCCTCTCTGCTTGCATTCCTGGCTGCCAAGTGACAGACATCTGCACCCTCCCCTCGCTCAGGCCTGCAGCCCACCACAGAGGCAGGGCTCTGTGTCATCGGCAGCATCACCACCAAGAGCGCACAATGTTCTAGCGATGCACGGAGAGGTGGCCTTGGGGCGATCTAGCTGCTGTCCACACCGATTTGAAGCCGCTGCCTCTCACCCCCTCCCCTCCCTTGCTTGCACCCCGCCGGCTAAATAGCGCTTAATTTCTAAAGCAAAAGAGGGGGTGGGGAAGAGGCAGTTGCAAAGTTACGCCTTCCCATCTGAAAAAAGAGGCTGCCCTGATGAGTGGAGGTTGGCTATGACTCATTATGGGCACTGCACATGTTGTGTGTTCTCTCCCTTCCTAAGCAAAGTCCACCGCTTGTGGCACTCGCATTCTCCGACTCCATCTACATACAGGCCTGAAGCCGCTAGCTGTGGCTTCCCAAAGGACACGTGCTGAGTGGGGGCGAGGTTGCCAACTGACCGGCCTGGCCTATTGTTACTGTGCTTTTCACGGCAACTTGATGGCCCGCGGACTGTCTCGCCAGAGTGGTGCATGCTTTAGTTATCTCCCACTTGGACTACTGCAATACACTCTACGTGGGGCTACCTTTGAAAGTGAGCCGGAAACTACAATCCAGAATGCGGCAGCTAGACTGGTGACTGGGAGTGACCATCAAGACCATATAACACCGGTCCTGAAAGACCTACATTGCCTCCCAGAATGTTTCCAAGCACAATTCAAAGTCTTGGTCGTGACCTTTAAAGCCCTAAACGCCCTCGGCCCAGTATACCTGAAGGAGCGTCTCCACCCCCTTGTTCAGCTGAGGTCCAGCTCCAAGGGCCTTCTGGCACTTCCATCACTGCGAGAAGTGAGGTTACAGGGAACCAGACAGAGGACCTTCTTGGTAGCGGCACCCACCATGTGGAACACCCTCCCATCAGATATCAAGGAAAGAAACAACTCTCTGACTTTTAGAAGACATCTTAAGGCAGCCCTGTTTAGGGAAGTTTTTAGTGTTTGATGTTTTGTCGTGTTTTTAATATTCTGTTGGGAGCTGTTCAAAGTGGCTGGGGAAACCCAGCCAGATGGGCGGGGTATAAATAATAAATTATTATTATTGTTGTTATTATGGGTCAGACTTACTTGACCTGGAGCAGCTAGTGGCACAATGGGTTAGTGTGTGTGGCTATTAACCAGAAGGTTGGTCGTTTGAGCCCACCCAGGGGTGGCTGTGGGCAGGATTCTTGGATTCCACGGGGTTAGGCTAGATGACCCCCGAGGCCCTTTCAAACCCAACAATTTTGTGAGTGTATTCCTTTTTTTAACCATCTCCTGCTACTGTCTGCAGATTATCCTGCTGTTCAAAGGTAAAGGGGAAAGAGCTGGGCAGGGAAGTTGGCATCCCTAATACTCTATGCATGAACTCGTGTCCAGAATAGGCATACATACCCAAGGATCACATGTTCTGAATTTTAAATTGCTGTCACCTACTATGGTGAAGAGCAGGTAATAAATTCCAATATAATAATAATTAATATGTTGGGCTGTATGTGGGCTGCAAGCTTATCTTATGCAGTGTGTGCTTTCTGGATAAGAAATGGGCGAGGTGCAAAGTAGCCATAGGGGAGGGGATACTCTGTACATTCTCAGGAGCACCCTGTACTTTAGTATCCTCCCTTGTTCCAGGGATGGGTACGATTCAGTTTAAATCTTGCCACCGAGCTGCAACTCCCTACAAGCAATCCTTTATTCATTCAACAAAACGTAGATGCTGCTTGGGTGTAAACAGAACCTCTCAGACATTTAGAAAAACAAACATTAGCATTGTCGATAAAAGACAAATGCTAAAAACGGATATTTTGAAAATTGGAAACATAATTAAAATCAACAATAAGCTAATACAAAATTAAAATGCATGCCAGCACCCTACATGTCTGGAAACAAAAATGCTTCAAGCAGGTTCCAAAACGAGTGCAGGGAAGGCAATGTCAATAGGCAGAAAGTTCCGAAATGTAGGTGCTGCTATGCTAAAAGGTTGATTTTTTTGCCAACGCAGAGGAAATATAATGTGGCACCTGTAAGAGGACCAGTCCCACAGACTGAAGCAGCCCTTGGGTAACCTGGTCCCACGCTGTTAAGGGCTTTATATACCAAGAGTAACACCCTGAACTTGGTTGGGTATCAAATGGACAGCCAATGTTCTGCGTGCCCCTTCCTTTATCCATCTCTGCCCACTTCCTGTCTGCTTGTTTCTTACTCCTGTCCATTCTCCTGCCCTCGATGTGTGTTGGCTTTCTAGCCTCAGCCATTTCCTGCCTTGCATGTGCGTAGGCCCTTTCTGAACGAGAGGCTCATGCAGAGGCTTCTCCCTTGGGATCGAAGCAGCCGGCTCAGTGGCGGGTTTGATCCCCAGCATCTCCATGTAGGGCTGGGGGGAAAGATCCTGTCTGAGATCCTGGAGAGCTGCTGCTAGTCAACTACTGAGAGATGGACCAAGCTGCCTCCAGAGCAGGGCTGCTGCTTCCTCTGCATCTCCTCACTTCGCATCAGTCCTCCCTGCTGCCCACTCTACCCTGAGACTTGACAAGTTTTGGCAGGTTTCCTACCATCAAGCGATATGCAAATTCAAAGAAATATAGGTGGGTGTGCTCCTGCACCCAGTCTTGTATTTAACTACTTGCCTGGTCGCCACAGGTGACCAGGAATTCCATGCAGGTGAGTAAGCAGGCTAGTAGAAGAGGGACCGATCGCTCCAGAGCTGCCATTGAGGGTCAGCCTAGTTGGTCATCTGCTTAGAGACCACATCCCAGTTGCGGGCTCACTGGCCTGCTCTTTCTCTTCCCCACTGCAAGCTCCTTGTCCACCATCCCTCATTCTGGCTCAGTAAACCAAGGAGGATCAGTAGATGCCTCTGCCTATCTGCTCACTCAATAGCTTTGGTTCTCTGCCTGCGAAGGAGCAGGATGTGAGGATAACAGCAGGGGAGACCAAGGCTCATAGTGGGAGGGGGCAGGTGAGCTTGAAGTGATCTGTCTCTCCTCCACCAGCCCTCTTGATGGAAGTCGGTTGTTGATGTTGTTATGAACCTGCTCAGCGTGTAGAGCAGGGATGGGCAACCTGTGGCCTTCTAAGACATTCCCATCAGCCACAGCTAGCATGGCTAATGCTCAGGAAGGATGGGAGTTGGAGTCCAGCAAGAGACATTTTGCCTTGCAACTTCATGGTTGATTCTTCAGTTCAGATTCTCAGGGCAAATGCTTCTGAAGAACTTGTGAGCATTTCGCAGGCTGTTCTCCTTTCTGTTTGGATCCTTGGGGGTTATATACCAACAACATCTGGAAGGCCAAAGGCTCCTCTTCCCTGGTCTAATAGCTCCTGCTCAAGTCCTGCTTGTGTAAACAATAACACACAACACGATGGCTAATAATTTGTTGTTGTTTAGTCATGTCCGACTCTTTGTGACCCCATGGACCAGAGCACGCCAGGCATGCCTGTCTTCCACTGAATCTTTATAACATAATATTCTTTCAAAGTTCATAAACAGAAGAACTATATATAAAGGAAAACACAAATAATGAGATTCAAATGATTGTTAGGCGCGGTCAGTCTCTAAGGTGGAGGCAAAAAGCCTTTCCAAAGTCAATGTCCTACAATTGTGTGATGGTAGGTGCTCTGGGCGTACTCCGAGCACAGCAGCGAACAGAACAGTTTTCCAGATAATAAACTGTTTCAAAGATTATTCTTCATCAGCAAATAACTGTCCTAAAAGGTACAATAAATAGCCATGGATCAGCAATCACCGAAAAGTGTAGCAAGCTGCTGCTGCAGAATCATCTTTGAAACAGTTTATTTATTTGTGGTTTCATTCATATATATATATATATATATATATATATATATATATATATATATGTATATATATATTTCTTCTGTTTACAAACTTAGAAACAATATTATGTATTAAAGATTCAGTTAGCGTATTATTAGCCATTGTGTTGCGTGTTGTTGTTTAGACTGTTCTGTTTTTGCAACACAAGTTCTGCTTGTGGGCTGGCCTCCGTGAGAACAGGAAGACTGAAGAAACCCCAACTAAAGAATCTTGGAAGAAAAATTGATGGACTATGCAGAACTGGCAAAACTGACATACAAGCTATGGGACAAGGATAACTGTGACTTTAAAGAGAATGGGAACCCTTTACAAAGTATCTGAAGATGCAACAAAGCGAACCGGACTCCTTGGCTGGCTTTGAATAAACCTTCACAAACTTTTTATTGATAATAATCAGCTAATGGAATGGAATACCAAAGGTGAAGAAGTTAAATCGGTAATGATACAATGGGCTAGAGATTTTGGTTATAATATTCAGTTCGAGGACTGGGAAAAACTGTGGAAAGAGAATTTAAGATTTACTGCATGTACAGTACTTAAAGAAAACGTTATGAAAATGTTTTACAGATGGTATATTACACCGGTAAAATTATCAAAAATGTATAAGACGTGTAACAAATGTTGGAAATGTAAAGAAAAAGAAGGTACGTTTTATCATATGTGGTGGGAATGTAAGAAAGTGAAGGGCTTCTGGGAGATGATCTATAACGAAGTGAAAAAGATGTTAAAATATACATTTGTAAAGAAACCAGAGACCTTTCTTTTAGGAATTATAGGGAATGAAATTAGAAGAAAAGACTGTAAACTTTTGCAATATGCAGCCACAGCAGCAAGAATTCTACTGGCCCAGAAATGGAAACAAGAGGAAATACTGACAATAGAAGAATGGAGACTGAAGCTGACTGACTATGCAGAATTGGACAGATTAACCGGGAAAATTAGATATCTTCGAGACCAAAAGTTCATCGAGGACTGGGGGAAATTTGTTGAGTATCTGAAAAGAACATGTGATGTGCAAACAACACTGGTGGGATTTCAAGAAGCACTGTGAAAGTCGAGATATATTGTTAAAAAGAAATAGGAGTGGGAGGGAAGTTTAATGGCAATATAAACAGAGGAATGCGTAAACTGAGAGGTAAATATGGATGATTGTCAGAGAAGCCGAAGGAAGTCTAAAAAGAAACAAATTTGCGAAAACCTGATAGAATTGTATATTTGTGTTGGAAAATAATAAAAATTATTTATATATATATATAAAAGATAATAATCAGCTAAATAGTTTGAGGATCTATACAACTGTGTAACATGCAGAAAACAGCATTCTCAGAGAAATCAAAGACTGGAACTGAGGGAAGCCGGGGGGTGGGGGGTGGGTGGGTTTTGTGTGGGAGGGCGGGGTGAGGGAGGAAAAATGAGGGGGGGGGGAATAAGGATGATATGTTTCTGGATAATATGTTTTGTTTAAATTTTGAATTTAAAAAAAGGTTTTCGTTCTAAGATATGTTTTTCATCTTTGGTCCAGCAGGGTTCTCCTTGTTGCAGGAAATTAAAATGTCAGTCACCCAGCTGAAGTGTCCTTCCGGCCTGCCATTCTGACCAACCCCAGGAGGCGGGATGTAGCCACCCTTTTATTTTCCCACAATGCCCTAATTGTAGCACCACTCTGGGGCATTGTGGGAAATTAAATGGGTGACCACTTCCTGCCTCCTTCTGCAGCTTAGAAAGCTGCTACCATAGCCTGGTAAACCTGCCCACTGACCGAGGAGTGGGGACATCAGATGGCATTTCACTCAAGTCCCTCCCTCCCCCCAAAAAATCCCCACACCCTGGAACAGGACCTGCCTAGTGTTCTGATTAATGTTAAAATTATTTTTCTGGCTTTTCTGGATGAAGAAGTTGAGGGTAGGTTGGGGCTGCTGGCTTTCAGGAACCGCAACCCATATTTGCTAACGTTGAACATGGATTTGGAAATCTGCCTGGACATTTTCAAATGCACATGAAATTTTCGGTTCAGTATCCCATTGCTGACAAACCTACTAATGGTCACCCATATAAATTGCAGCACACAGACTAGCACTGAAAAAAACAACAAACGATTGAAAGGCAAAAGGCCACACACAGGCACACTTTCAAAAAAACAAAACAAGTTATCTGTGCAGCTGTAATTACAAGCCCTTCGATCTGTTCTGACACACCCCTCTCTCTTTCTCTGCAAAACTCCCTCTCTCTGTCCCTATGGGCTCCCTCTCCCAAACCATTCCTATCTCTACCCACCCTGACCTTATCTGTTCATCTCTGCTCCTGGCATACATTGCTCCCTGGACATTAAAAAAATCTGTCTCCCTGCTGTGGACATTCATGCACGCCGGCCTCACGGAGCCTCAAATCCCCATCTCCCTGCTTATTTTTCTCTCCCCAACATCTTCCCACCTCAGGCAAGAGGTTGGGCCAAGAACATGGGTAGGCAACCTAAGGCCCGGGGGCCAGATCCGGCCCAATTGCCTTCTAAATCCGGCCAACGGACAGTCCGGGAATCAGTGCGTTTTTACATGAGTAGAATGGGTCCTTTTATTTAAAATGCATCTCTAGGTTATTTGTGGGGCGTAGGAATTCATTCCCCACCCAAAATATAGTCCGGCCCACCACAAGGTCTGAGGGACAGTGGACCAGCCCCCTGCTGAAAAAGTTTGCTGACCCCTGGCCAAGAGGATAACAGTCCTAGGGCCAATGTGGCATAGTGGTTAGAGTGTCAGGACTAGGACCTGGGAGATCAGGGTTCGAATCCCCACTCAGCCAGGAATCCCACTGGGTAACGTTGGGCCAGGCTTCCTCAATCTCAGCCCTCCAGATGTTTTTGGCCTACAACTCCCATGATCCCTAGCTAGCAGGACCAGTGGTCAGGGATGATGGGAATTGTAGTCTCAAAACATATGGAGGGCCGAGGTTGAGGAAGCCTGCCTTAGGCCAATCACGGCCTCTCAGCCTAACCTTCCTCACAGGGTTGTGTGGGGATTAGATGAGGAGAGAGAGAACCACGTTTTGCCATCTTGATCTCCTTAGAGAAAAAATATGGGATGTGAACACAATAAATACATAACACAACCTGAGCAGGATTGGGCAAACAGGTCCACTTCAGTTTCTCATTTTTCCAAACATCCACATTCCCACATCAGTTTGCAATGTATTTATTTTATTTTTTTGGTAAAGAAGTCCTCATGGAAGTTGCTCAGCATTTTAGTTGCTCCTAATGTACGCATAGGGATGCGGGTGGCGCTGTGGGTTAAACCACAAAGCCTAGGACTTGCTGATCAGAAGGTGGGTGGTTCGAATCCCCGCAACGGGGTGAGCTCCCGTTGCTCGGTCCCTGCTCCTGCCAACCTAGCGGTTCAAAAGCACGTCAAAGTGCAAGTAGATAAATAGGTCCCGCTCCGGCGGGAAGGTAAATTGCGTTTCCGTGCACTGCTCTGGTTCGCCAGAAGTGGCTTAGTCATGCTGGCCACATGACCCGGAAGCTGTCTGCGGACAAACGCAGGCTCCCTCGGCCAATAAAGCGAGATGAGCGCCGCAACCCCAGAGTCGGTCACGACTGGACCTAATGGTCAGGGGTCCCTTTACCTTTAATGTACGCATGCACATATGCAATATTTGCCTCTCGTAACACATTTTTCCAAAGCAGCTTCCATGGCAAAACCAAACTTCCAGTTTTGGGGCAAGCAAACCTGATTTTATGGGCTTCTCTAAGGTGATCATTCAATTAAGGCCGAAATCCTAAAAATACTTTACCTGAGAGCATGGCCCATCACTGGTGCCAAGTCCAGGGGCCCCCGGGGGCCCAGACACTCAAATCCCCCCCCCGGTACTTTCTGTATCTTGGAAAATATGGCATTGTCACAGTCCAAGACCACATGCTAGTCAGCCAAAAGCTCTCAAGAGGGGCCAGAAAAATGGTGTGGCCTGGGAAGAACTCAAAGGGCCATATAGAGAGACCCTGAGGGCCACATCTGCTCTCCTTAGGCCTGTGGCTCCCCACCCCTGGATTAATCAATGAAATCTGCATACCTTTACATACTTGAGGGGAGGGGAATCAATCTAAAGAAATGGAGCATACTGCAAGACCAGGGTTCAAATCCCCACTTAGCTGTGAACCTAACTGGGAGACCACGGGCTAGTCAGCCCTGCCTACCTCAAAGGGTTGTTGAGAGGATTAAATGAGATGGGGAAGAACCACCTTCAGCTCCTTGGAGACAAAGGTGGGATATAAATAAAACAAACAGTAAATAACAACAACAACGGCCCACACCCCCTACTTTCTTGTTCGTGGGTCAAATACAGCAGGCATCCTCTTAAGAAGAGGCAAAGACCCCTGTTCAAAAAATGTGGGAAATCACCATTTCATTTTAAAGTATTTTCAGCCACCCACAACATTTCTCATCGATCCATCCAACTGATTGACCAGCAGCCCTGGAAAACTCCCTGTTTTCGTTTGAAGCATGACTTTCTCCAAATGTCGTGGGCATGGGAGGGAAGTAGTGGCTAGTGGCTAGAGGCTTAGAGCAAAGGGCAGAGTTCTTCTGGGGCCTTTTATCCCTCCGCCTGAGAGGGCAGCAGAGTCTTAGCAGCTTCTCTCCAGTTGTTGTCCTTATCTGTGGGAGGGATCTGGGGGTCTATGCTGGTTTTTCCTTTGAAGGCGGTGGGGGAGGTAATCCAGCTCAGGATTCTCGAAACGGGGTCCTAGAGGGGCGAGTCTCCCTTCTTGGGGCAGGAGAGGATTCTTTGTAGGCTTGAGCTGGGAGGTTGAAAGAATCCGCTTTCCCTAGCTGTCAAAATCTCCGCAGATTTGCGGGCGAGGGGAGGGGAGCAGCGGTGTGGGTAGGGGGTAAGAGAAGAAGAAGAAGAAGAAGAAGAAGAAGAAGAAGAAGAAGAAGAAGAAGAAGAAGAAGAAGAGGAGGAGGGCTAGCCTGGCAAGGTCCCCACCTCGGACTCCTGGGTTCTTTCCTCTAGTAAACAACTAGTAAACACTTCTCCCTCTCCCAAGCTTTGCTCCCAAGCGACCCCCAACCGAGAAAAGAATGCCCCTTCCCGACCCACCCCAGCACACATCCCTCCAAAGGACTCACCTATCACAGACCAGGGGGGTCTCCAGCTGCTGCCCCCCAGCACCTGCAAGCGGGGCAGCTTCCTCCTCACGCTCTATTTCTTCCACTCTGTGTGTCATTCTCTTTATCATTTCATCCCTCCCTCCCTCCCTCCCTCCCTCCCTCTCGTGTCCTCTCCCCGCTCCTGCCAACTATAAATAATCACTTCTCTCTCTCTCTCTCTCATTCTCTCTCTCTCTCTGGCCCAGGGCGCTGCAAAGTTTCTGCGCTCCGCTGCTTCCAGCCTTCAGCAGCAATTGGCCTTCACTCGCCAACCTGCCTCACTAACCTGCTGGTTTTACCGGCAAAGAGGAATGTTTGGCTATGTGCTCCCAGAGCCGCTGTCCTTTTGAGCGCGCACGTCCCCGAATCTTGCACTTTCCCGGTCAAGGAATGTGTACAAAAAAGGCACGCTCTAGGGCGAAAGCGTGCGTAAAAATGCACGCATGGTTGTGACAACGGCGTGCGAAGGTGCATTATACGAGGGGGAATTTCTTGCAGCCAGATATGAGGCAGAAATGGCGTGGAGACGTGTGTTTATCGGGAGAGATTTGGGCTCAAACGCTGATGAAGTTTCATGAGAAAGAGAAAGAGAAAGAGAGATCTGAATTTAGGATTGAGGAAATTAAAAACAGAGAGAAACGGAAATTGACACATTCGCAGATTCTTGGAGGCCAACCACTCACTCTTGGCTTAATCTACTTGGTGGGGTTGTTGTTGTGGGGCTAAAAGGGGGAGAGGGAGAACTCTGTATGCCACTTTGAGCTCCTTAAAGGACAAGTGGAATATAAATCTAAACAAACAAATAATATCCCCTCAGCATTTCTAAAATGTGATTGGAGGCCTTGGCTTCCAGCCTTTATGAATCTAGCATCCAACACAAGTCTAATGCATAAGACCCTGCCTGGGGGGATGGTGGTCTCTCCTTTACTGGTGGTGTTTAAGCAGAGGCTGTGGGGCCATCTGTCAGCGATGCTGTAGATGCAAGATCCCTGCACTGAGCCAGGAGTCAGTCTGCAGGGCCTTCTGGGACCCCTTCCAGCTCTGAAAGGCTATTTATTTCCATTCTGTTTCTCCTCGCCTCTCTCCTTCCTTTCCCTTTTGCTCCATTCTCATTTTCTGATGCCATTTCAGCGCATCAGGGACCCTCTGTTAAAGGCCAATGCCAACAGAACTGGGATCAGCCTGGAGTTCAAATCATGCATTTTTTTGATCCGGGTTGGCATCCCCTGTTCAGGGGAGACTCACTGAAACAGCTAAAGTAGGCCCATTAGTTTCAATGAGCCTACTCTGAGCACGATTTGAGTTGGCCAGAACCCCCATCTGTTTATTTTGCAAAAACCGTATTAAATGTTTCTTATTGCTCCTTATGGTGGTAGTGATGCTATTGCAGCTCAGGCCCAACTCACTCATTCAGGGGAATCTGTGGGTCCTCCAAATGCCGCTGGACTGCAACTCCCAGTGTAGGCCCCTGCCTGGCATCAGTAGGCAGTGAGTTCCAAAGTAATAAGTGCTGCCACATCACTTTCTCACAAAGGCGGAACGAGGATCATGCGGTGCCCATAAGCAGTGCCAGCTCTGCCCGTATGACTGTGAGTCCCACCCACCACAGCTGCTACTTCCTGTGGAACAAAATTTTGGTGCCACTCACATCCTCAGTGTAACAGCCTGGATACATCATTTCATTCATGGCCTTTGGAAGGCAAGTATCTGCAGAAGTGCTCAAAAATGGACTGTGCCACTTCAAGTTAGAGATGAGCGCATTTTTTTAAAAAAATGCTTGTTTACATTATTTTAAAAAACTAACCTCCCTCCAGATAGAAAACTAGATAGATCTAGCAAAGAGCTATGTTAGTTTTCTCCTTGCAGGAAGTGGGTTTGTTTTTAAAGGCGGGGGAGCATCTAAACTTGTTTTCCCCCACCTCTAGCCCGAAGTGGTACAGTCCATTTCACCCTCCCCACATTTCCTCCTCAGACCAGACCTGAGAGACAAATCATCAAGTGGTCAACACCCATCTGTTCACGAGCATCCTGTGGCATGGCTAGGCAAGGCCAGCTGCGCATGGGGTTGGGGTGGGGGAGAGAACATATGCTTCACATCTAGGAAAAGAGGTGACAGTGCTCAAGAGCGTGATGTCTGATCTGGATACTTTTCTCCCTAATCCACGATGTGAAAATTATCCATAATTATCCCCCACGGTAAGGGAGACGCACTCTGTACCTGCACAGAGGTGCTGTTGTGTATTCTTACTCCCTGCGTTGCTAGCCTGACCCCTGGCATTGAAGACTGATGCAGGAACCAGCCCCTGGCAACAAGTTAAGGACCAGTGAAGGATGGCGTTGCTGGCAAATGTAGGTTCTGGTTGGCTGCAGGTCCATTAGGTCTAAGATTTGACTCAGTGTACAAAGCCGAGCCAAGAGCCAGAAATTTAACAGGGAATTCCAATGTCGTGTTTATGTGGAAGCAACCCCCCCTGTATATTCAGTGAGGTTTATTCCACAGACCCTAGTAAGTGTGCCTAGGGTGGCATACCCTCCAACATTTCTCCGATGGAAATAGCAACATCCTATTCAACAATAAATAGTAATACTAATACCCTGCTCATGTGACTGGGTTTCCCCAGCCACTCTGGGCAGCTTCCATCATATATAAATGCATAATAAAACATTTAAAAACTTCCCTACACAGGGCAGCCTTCAGATATCTTCTAAAGGTTGTCTAGCTACTTATCTACTTAGCTTGGAGGGTTGCATAGCTCCATACCCGCCAACATTTCTCTGATGAAAATAGGAACGTCCTAAGGAAAAGCGGGACATTCTGGGATCAAATCAGAATCTGGTACGGCTTCTGTAAATCCAGGACTGTCCCTGGAAAACAGGGACACTTGAAGACTCTGGGATGGCAGCCTTCAATGCCCATGGCATTTTCGTGTGCTTCACTTTGGCTGGCTTGTTCCCACTGCACACAGGTGCAAGAGAAATGCAAGTGATTTGTGAAATACAGTGGAAATCCCTATACCCTTGTTTACAGAATCAGAGTCATGTGGGACTCCCTCTAGTGGTTTTGTTTTTTAAAAAACGAAACAAAAACACTTTGTGGGCATTGATTTCTCTCGGTCTCGGTCTCTCACCGCCAAACACTCACTCTCGCTTCTCCATACAGAAACTTCCCAATGTCACTATTTTCTAGGGCAAGCCCCCGTTTCCCGATCTGGGGAAAAAACATCCTCTCGCTGCTGCTTTTTGGGGGTTGAGGTTGGAGATGCCTTTGGGGGAATAATATACTGTGCCTATGTCTGCACTAGAATCAGGCAAAGGAAGGACTGTTGGAAGGACAGATCGTGAAGCTGAGGCTCCAATACTTTGGCCACCTCATGAGAAGAGAAGACTCCCTGGAAAAAGACCCTGATGTTGGGAAACATCAAGGAGAAGGGGACAACAGAGGACGAGATGGTTGGACGGTGTTCTCGAAGCTACCAGCATGGGTTTGACCAAACTGCGGGAGGCAGTGGAAGACAGGAGTGCCTGGCATGCTCTGGTCCATGGAGTCACGAAGAGTCAGACACGACTAGACGACTAAACAACAACAAGTCCACTGTTTCTCAAACTTGGGTTTCCAGCTGTTTTTGGACTACAATTTCCATCATCCCCGACCTGCTAACTATGGATGATGGGAGTTCCAGTCCAAAAACAAGCTGGAGACCCAAGTTTGGGAAACCATGGACTAGTGGATCACAGCCTCATCCAAGGTGGGTCGCAACAGGGACACTTCCCACCATGCAAATTTATGGTAAAAAGATGAAGAGATGGGTCCCCAAATGCATGTTTAAGTCAAAAGCGGGGCTGGATCTGGAAAGTTTGGAGACTGCCACTCCAGAAGATAGATGTCTGAGAGAGGGAGTGTGTCAAGAGATGAATTTGGACCCAGGACTCCTGCCTCTAGGCATGTGGCCTGCTTTTTTTTTTAAGCACGGCTGGTTTGTTGTGGTTGCATTGTTATTGTTTATCATGTGGTCATAGGAAGATGTCGCAAGCAGGCAGGGCCGGCTCTGCTGTTAGGCAGAGCTAGGGCTGGTCCACACTTCCTTTCGCCTCGTGATTTCTAGCCACGGGTCTAAGAGATTCTATTTTTTGTCCCACTATTGTGTTCCCTGCTTGGCATACTTGGGCTCCATGATCACTGTAGATGGTGACAGCAGCCACAAAATTAAAAGACGCCTGCTTCTTGGAAGAAAAGCAATGACAAACCTAGACAGCATCTTAAAAAGCAGAGACATCACCTTGCCAACAAAGGTCCGTATAGTTAAAGCTATGGTTTTCCCAGTAGTGATGTATGGAAGTGAGAGCTGGACCATAAAGAAGGCTGATCGCCGAAGAATTGATGCTTTTGACTTATGGTGCTGGAGGAGACTCTTGAGAGTCCCATGGACTGCAAGAAGATCAAACGTATCCATTCTTAAGGAAATCAGCCCTGAGTGCTCACTGGAAGGACAGATCGTGAAGCTGAGGCTCCAATACTGGGCCACCTCATGAGAATAGAAGACTCCTGGAAAGACCCTGATGTTGGGAATGATTTAGGCACAAGGAGAAGGGGACGACAGAGGACAAGATGGTTGGACAGTGTTCTGGAAGCTACCAGCATGAGTTTGACCAAACTGCGGGAGGCAGTGGAAGACAGGAGTGCCTGGCGTGCTCTGGTCCATGGGGTCACGAAGTCAGACATGACTAAACGACTAAACAACAACAACAATTATGTTCCCTGGGAAACCAACAAATGGAGCCATCAAGACAGGACTTTAGTGCAAAAGCCCAGAGCCCCATTTAGAAGGGCTGGCTTAGCACCAGTGCTTTTCATCTAGGTAAAATAAAAGTGCTGGTTTTCACTGGCCAGAAGGGTGTTGACTTGCCCCCCCCCCCACATGGAGGGAGTGCAGTCATGTGATGTGTTGATGTGCTGCCCTTGCCAAAACATTTTGGGGGAGCCGAAGCCCCCTCTGCCCCCTATACCCAGTGCTGCTGCCAGCAAGCAGGTGGAGGAGGGGCGTGGCCTGAAGCCAAGGCTGGGCAGTGAGGTCAGGCTAGCCGCTTGACGCTCCTTTGCCCACCCACCCAGGTGAATAGGCCTCCCCTGGCCGGCTTTGAGAACGAGGCAGCAGAGCTTCAGGATCCTACCAGAGCGAGGCAAATGCTAAGTGAGGCAAATGCTTCCTGGCCTTGGGGAAGGAGATGCGATGCTCTGAAGAGTTCAAAGAGCCCTTCCACCCCCCTAAAAAACCACAAAGTGGTAGTACTGTGTATTGCTGCATGCCACCAGGAAAAAGCACTGCTTCCCACATTTTGAGGTAAGATAAGCAATGCCCAGGGACGCAGGTGGCGCTGTGGGTTAAACCACAGAGCCTAGGACTTGCCGATCAGAAGGTTGGCGGTTTGAATCCCCACAACGGGGTGAGCTCCCGTTGCTCGGTCCCTGCTCCTGCCAACCTAGCAGTTCGAAAGCACGTCAAAGTGCAAGTAGATAAATAGGTACCACTCCAGTGGGAAGGTAAACGGCATTTCCGTGTGCTGCTCTGGTTTGCCAGAAGCGGCTTAGTCATGCTGGCCACATGACCCGGAAGCTGTACGCCGGCTCCCTCGGCCAATAAAGCGAGATGAGTGCCGCAACCCCAGAGTCGGTCACGACTGGACCTAATGTTCAGGGGTCCCTTTATCTTTACCTAATCAATGCCCATTAGCTGCTGGTATGTGATTAAATCCCACTGCTTCTAAAGCAGGGGCTTTTCAAAAAACTATAAAGACCGGTGTCTAAGGGCCTTTTCAGAGTGTCGCTAAATTTGTGTGGGATTCAATCCCACAATTTCAGGCCCTGCAATTCAAGTTGTTCTAGTGCTTTTGTGCAACAAACCTGCTTGCACCCCCCCCCCCCCACACCCCTGGACTCTTTTGCAATAAAGAAACGGAAAATGCTCTGGAAAATGTGAGAGAACAACAGCTTGGCACAATGTTGTCTAACCTCCCCACAAGCAAAATGGAACGAATGCTCAATAAACAGCCATCTAACCTCCCTGTGAAGTTTGTGCAAACTGATCAGGATGAATGTGCAACAAGCAAGTCACCTGGAAGTGAGCTAAGATTACCTAAGTGCACCTCTGCCCCAGAGTCGTTATAGCTGATCAACATGATCAACAGGGGCAGTTACATTCCATGGGACAACAGAGACTGTGAGTGCCAGGCAGTCTTGCCCTGCACTCCTCAAGCCAGAGTCTGCTAAAGCTCCCATCGTTCCCAGCCAGCATGGCCAATGAGATGGGCGAATCAATTGATTTTGGTTTCTTTCAGTTTCCCAGCCTTAAATTCAGCACTCCACATTCCCACATCAGTTTGTGGTTTTTTAAAAGAAGTCCTCATGAAAATCCACCAGCATTTTAGGGCAAAGTTATCCTAATAGGCACATTTTTGCATGCAATTTAGTAATAATAATTGTGCATGATAAACAACACTTTTGCAAAGCGCTCCCCCCCCAATATAATGCATTTTTAATGTCCCTTTCACCAACATATCCATTTTTATGGACACTTTGCCCCACTCGGCTGGAGGGCTACATTGCAACATTTGGAGAAACGCTGTGCAGTATTTGGAAATCCACAAACGGCTTGATAAATCTCTGGTGGCAATTAAAACGAGGACATTTTCATCCCCATGAAGAGTTCACATATTGCTTCAGAAAGTGTGAAATGGGTAGCTTTTCCTTTAAATGCAAACCAATAGGTCAGGGATGATGGGAGCTGAAGTCCACAGCATCTGGCTGCTGCCACATTGGCCACTTCTGCCCTCTGAGTGATTTGAAGTAGGTCACTGAGGCTTGTTTAACAATAGCAAATACACACACAAACCACTACCACCAAAAATGAGGCTGCCGAAATGAAAAAAAAACAAGCCTGGGGTAAGGACCACAAATGGATTTTGATGTGGAAAAACAAAACAAAACTGCAGGCACTTCCAGACTGGGTGGGATTCAATCAGTAAACTCAGGTTGCATTGCTGAAGTTGATTTGATGCTCTTATGCCAGAAATCCCAGAGTCCCTCTACATCCCAGAAAAATGATGGAGAAGTGCACTGGAAAGTGTGGAATGACAATTGCTTGATGGAACATCTTCTAACATCCCTGCAAACAAACCCAGAACAAACGCGGCATCACTGATGTCATCTAACACACCTGCAAACTTTCACAGAATCATAGCATTGTGGAAAGGATTCCGAGGGTCATCTAATTCAACACTCTGCAATGAAGGAATCTCGATTAAAGCATGCATGACAGGTAAAACCTCCACTGTCAAACAGTTCTTATGGTCAGAAAGTTCTTCCTGATGTTTAGTTGGTATCTCCTTTCTTGTAACTTGAAGCCATTGGTTTGGGTCCTAGCCTCTTAGAGCAGGAGAAAACAAGCTTGCTCCATCTTTCATGTGACAGCCCTCCAGATATTTGAAGATGGCTATCATATTTCCTCTTTTCCAGGCTAAGCATACCCAGTTCCCTCAACCATCCCTCATAAGGCTTGGCTTCCAGACCCTTGATCATCTGGGCTGCACTCCCCTGCACACGTCCCAACTTATCAGCATCTTTATTGTGGCACCCAGAACTTTGTGCAAAACGATCGTGATGTATGCTGTGCTGGTTAGGTCATGCTATTAGAGCTGGTTGGGAGGCCTTGTTCGCACAACAAGCAGCTCCTCCAAAAGTCTGGACCTTTTGCAATAAGGAAATGTGCCAGAGAATGTGGGAGTAACAGTGGCTTTGATGCCATGAAATCTGGCCTCCCCTCAACCAGATCAGAATGAATGACCTGGAAGCACCCAGAGATGGACACAACTCTCTCTTCTTCAATTACAAGAATACAAAGGTCCCCATCTTGATCATGACCATTCTGCAAGACATGTGTGCCTAGCAACACAAAGCATGGGAGAAAGAGAGAGAAAGGGGAGGAAGGAGAAAAGGGAGAGGTAGATGGCTCTCTCCTCCTCCTCCTCTTTTATTTCTCCAGAAGCTGACCAACGCCCCCAGGGAACATTCTCCTCTGCTGCATTGGCTAATGCACAAACCAAAGCTTCCAGCTTTTTACTATTCCACACTGGCGGAAGAGGGAGGAGTGGCGGCTGCAGCTGAGGTTGTTAACTCAGCCCCATAGAAGAAAGAGAACTATTCCCCCCTCTCCTCCAGGCACAACTACTCTGGCCTATGAAGTGAAGGGATGTGGTATTAGGAGGTCAAGGGGAGAAGTGCTTATGTCTGGCTGGCCCCACCCCACCTGAACTGGCCAATGGGTTGTAGCCTAAGGAGTGGTGGTGTGTGTGGAGGGAGAGGAAGACGCAAGAAAAGCTGGGAGCCCTTAAGGACATTCCAGTAAACTCTTCTGTAAATGTTCAGGTTTTTTTTATTATTATTTTAAAAGCCACTTCATTTTTAGGAATATCACACTATTTCTGACTGTGGTTCTGGTCAAGAGGTTCCAAGTGCTTAAAAAAAATATTTAATGCACCTTTGTCACATCTTTCAGGACACATTACTCTCACAAGGTGGCTTACAGGATTATTCTTTTTTATTTTAAACCATGCAAAATATCAAAACACTGCAATGAGTTTCCAGTACACTATTTCAGTGTTAAAAACCAGCAGCAGTTAAAAAGTTCACAGCACAGGAAGCAAATTCGCCACAGACCACCGGAATAAAAATAGAAAGCGCAATTCAAAATCGCACTTGCCCAGCTGCCCCCGCAGCAATTGAAATGCTTTCAGCGCAGCTGGTTCATTAAATCCAGCATCCTATTCTCACAGTGGCTTACTAGATGCCTCTGGGAAGCCTGTGAGCAGGAACTGAGCACAAAAGCAACTCTTTCATGTTGTGGTTTCCAGTGAGTGGCCATTCAGAAGCATAATGTGTTTGACAGTGGAGGCAGAATGCAAGCAGTAGAATTAGTAGCCATTGCTAACCAGGTGTTTTTGTACACTTGCCATGCACTGCAAACTGGCAACTTCAAGGCCTTGTTCCCTCTTGCTCCAGCCTCTGATATTTTTCTTTTTCGCACCTGATCACATGCACTTCTGCCGTAGCAAAGGCAGCTACTGGGGTGAGAGCGATTTCCTTGCCTCATTTCTCTCTTTCTCAAAACCCTTTCCTATGGAGCAGAGGTGGGAAGTTACGTTCCCTTTCCCCTCCAGATGTTGCGAGCCTACCAGCCCAAGAACACCAGTCAAACAGCATCTGTCACAGGAGCCTGTCGGTCAGTAATCATGCAGATCAAGGATGGAGTTAACTCCTCATTAGCAGAACCTCCACAGACTTGGCTGAGTGTCAGGCTTAATGAGCAGAGAAGCTCATTCCCGGTGATCTTCCTCCATGAAAATCAGTTGCTGAGTCTGAAATCCCTCCTCACCAGGGATTTCCCCAAGGAACTGGGGACGCTGCCTGCCTGCAGCCAATGTCTCCTCTGCCCTTTTCATGCATCTCCGGGTCCTGGGAGACCAGTGTGGATGGGAGCATGTTGCAGCAGGAGGCGCAGAAACCTATGCTTCTCCACCAGCCCAATTCATCTCTGCCTCTTGGCCTCCCTCCTCTCCTGCTTCAGCTTCTGCCTCGGATTCTGGACTTCTCTCTTCACCGACTCCCTCCGCTCACTAAGCCCTGTTACCTCTTCAGTTTCTGACACGCCCTCTTCCCAGTCTTCTCCCTCTTCTCCCTATGACCACTGTTTCCTCCCACTGTTCCTCTGCATCCAAGAAGTCCAGGACAGCATCTTTTTATAAACTTACCTGGCAAGATGTCCCATGGAGTTAAACGGGGATGGCTTCTGACGGAGCAGAGGGCAGGAGTGGGGAACTTCAGACTCGCATGTCTTTATCTGGCCCTTGGGCCACACCCCTTTCACAAGCCACACCCCTCCCTCACCAGCTGTGCTTCACATCCTCCTTGAGTGTCTTCGCCTGGCTGGGAGGCATCCTTGAACTCAGATGGAGACTCCTGCTTGCTTGCATGGAGGATAGTGAGCAGGGAGGGTGTATGAGTGTGTTTAGAAACCTGCCCCCTACACAAACACAAACTTGTTATTAATTTCTCTGGCCACTTTGGTCTCTGGCCCAATACACCTCAGGCATGGTCCCCCCCACCTCAGAATGGGATACAAGGGCCCCCCTTTCCTATGCCTAGGATTGCATTGCGAGCCTTAAATGGTCATCCCCGCAATGTTAGTGGGAAGAGTGGACTGCGTTAGCCGCAAACCTAAAACATCATCACCATCAACATTTTATCTGTATGGCGCCTTTCCACAGCTGAAACTATGCTCAAGGCAGCCTACAACAAGACAAGATTCATATAATTACAAACATAACAGAAGTCATAAACTATAAATACAGCTCATCAAAAAGTACACAACCTAATGGAGACAATTTCCACATAAATCGTAAGATCTAAAACTAAAGATACAACAATAATATCAATAAAGGCAACAGCTCTCTCAACCCCCCGTAAACAATACTCCAGCCCAAGAATCTGTTCAACAGCCTCAGCTTTTGTAGCTGGAGTCAGTCAGCACTCCACTCTCCCAGGCCAGATGGGAAAGGGAGCCAGTGTGGTATAGTGGTTCAGACCAATAGACTCGTAATCTGGGGAACCGGGTTCGCGTCTCCGCTCCTCCACATGCAGCTGCTGGGTGACCTTGGGCCAGTCACACTTCTTTGAAGTCTCTCAGCCCCACTCACCTCACAGAGTGTTTGTTGTGGGGGAGGAAGGGAAAGGAGAATGTTAGCCGCTTTGAGATTCCTTCGGGTAGTGATAAAGCGGGATATCAAATCCAAGGGCCAGTCAGGCAGGGTGCAGGTCTTCCAGGGCTCACAGCCAAGATAGTCTCATTTGAAAGAACACAGATAAAAATTAAAAACAATTGAAAAGAGGAGCCCTTGGTGCTAAGCAGCAGCCGCAGGACTTGTGAGCCTGTCAAGCCCCGCCTCAAGCCAGGTGGAAAGGACCGAGGTGATGCTGAGCAATGTGTGGGCTGTCTATTGCAGAGGCAGCATTTTTAGTTGAGAACGGAAGCAAGGGTTGGAAAGCAGAAATAACTCCTCTCTGGCTGTTTCCCTTTTCTCTAGCATCCCTCACGTGCTACTGTGCTCAAGTCATCTAAACGCCTCAATATGAGGGCAGGGCAAAGCCTTGCAGATGACTAATTACAGTGGATTTCCCCCGTCTGCGGTCACTCCAGATGTTGGCAGGCTCCAGCTTCCATCAGCTTTAGCCAGCACAGCCAACAAGCCAGGGTTGATGATGATGAGAGGTGGTCCAACAACAAATAGAGGGTGACCCAGACGGCGGCTGTTTGGTGTCATTTGTAGTTGCAAGGATGAAGACAGGGCAGCATGCATGTGTGTGCGGATATTCCATGCAAAGAAAAGATGGATTCTGCAACCTGCATGAAGGCTAAGCAGATGGATGGATAGTCTCACTGTATTTTTTATTTGATTTTAAGGATTTATAGGCTACTCTTCAGCTGAAAAAGACACACACAACAGCCTACAAATAAATCAGAATTCTGCACAAAGAAAATCTGGATCCTGCAACCAGCATAAATTATGAAAATAAGCAAATTTATTTATGTATGAACGCATAGATTATACATATTTTTTTCTATATGCCACTCTTCAATTAAAAAGTACCCTACAAATAAAAAAGAAAAAGCTGGGGGGGGGGGATTGGGGTTGGGGGGGGGGTATAAGCCATGAGGTTAATTAGGAATGGATCTGTCAGTTTCTGTTTCTCATTTTTCCAAGCCGAAGCACAGCAGTTTCCATTTCTCTTTCAATCCTCATGAAAATCCTGTAGCAATTTAGTGCAAATTTCTCCACATAAACACTTTTTTTTTTTTTCGGTTTTGACTAACATACAACTTCCCTGCAAGCAACTTCCCCTGATGCAATTTTGTACACTAATAATATATATCTTATACATGCTTTTCCCTACTGCATGCATTTCTACAGCACGTTGTTTGGCTGTCTGCGTATCTGAAGAAGTGTGCAAGCACACGAAAGCTCATACCAGTAACAAACTTAGTTGGTCTCTAAGGTGCTACTGGAAGGATTTTTTTAATTTTGTTTGGCAGAAGAACTGCATCGCAAAATTCGAGGGAGTGCCAATTTTGAAGGCCAGCTGTGTTTCAGTTCACATGCTGATCCGAGAAGCATGAAGGAAGTAACTTCTCATTAAAATGCAAACAAAAATGGAATCCCCCCCCCAAAAAAATCACTAAGCGTAGTGCATACACAGTTTGCTAAATCTCTCCTGCCTCTGCTTTCAAGCAGTGGGCCAAAATTATACAGGCTACGCAGACCACTCCAAATCTTTACTGTGCCCCTCCTCTGGCTTAAGAACTTCAGAGGAACCTGCTGGATCAGGTCCCATCAAGTCCAGCATCCTGTTCTCGCAGTGGCTACCCTCAAGCCAGACCTGAGCGCTCTCCCCGCCTATGATTTCCACTGACTGGTATTCAGAAACCTCTGAACGTGGAGGTAGAGCATGTTGTTTAGTCGTTTAGTCGTGTCCGACTCTTCGTGACCCCATGGACCAGAGCACGCCAGGCACTTCTGTCTTCCACTGCCTCCCGCAGTTTGGTCAGACTCATGCTGGTAGCTTCGAGAACACTGTCCAACCATCTTGTCCTCTGTCTTCCCCTTCTCCTTGTGCCCTCAATCTTTCCCAACATCAGGGTCTTTTCCAGGGAGTCTTCTCTTCTCATGAGGTGGCCAAAGTATTGGAGCCTCAGCTTCACGATCTGTCCTTCCAGTGAGCACTCAGGGCTAATTTCCTTAAGAATGGATGCGTTTGATCTTCTTGCAGTCCATGGGACTCTCAAGAGTCTCCTCCAGCACCATAATTCAAAAGCATCAATTCTTCGGCGATCAGCCTTCTTGATGGTCCAGCTCTCACTTCCATACATCACTACTGGGAAAACCATGGCTTTAACTATACAGACCTTTGTTGGAAAGGTGATGTCTCTGCTTTTTAAGATGCCGTCAAGGTTTGCCATCGCCTTTCTCCCAAGGAGCAGGCGTCTTTTAATTTCATGACTGCTGTCACCATCTGCAGTGATCATGGAGCCCAAGAAAGTAAAATCTCTCACTGCCTCCATTTCTTCCCCTTCTATTTGCCAGGAGGTGATGGGACCAGTGGCCATGATCTTCGTTTTTTTGACGTTGAGCTTCAGACCATATTTTGCGCTCTCCTCTTTCACCCTCATTAAAAGGTTCTTTAATTCCTCTTCACTTTCTGCCATCAAGGTTGTGTCATCTGCATATCTGAGGTTGTTGATATTTCTTCCGGCTATCTTAATTCCGGCTTGGGATTCATCCAGCCCAGCCTTTCGCATGATGAATTCTGCATATAAGTTAAATAAGCAGGGAGACAATATACAGCCTTGCTGTACTCCTTTCCCAATTTTGAACCAATCAGGTGTTCCATATCCAGTTCTAACTGTAGCTTCTTGTCCCACATAGAGATTTCTCAGGAGACAGATCAGGCACTCCCATTTCTTTAAGAACTTGCCATAGTTTGCTTTTGCATAGTCAATGAAGCAGAAGTAGATGTCTTTCTGGAACTCTCTAGCTTTCTCCATAATCCAGCGCATGTTTGCAATTTGATCTCTGGTTCCTCTGCCTCTTCTAAATCCAGCTTGCACTTCTGGGAGTTCTCGGTCCACATACTGCTTGAGCCTTCCTTGCAGAATTTTAAGCATAACCTTGCTAGCGTGTGAAATGAGTGCAATTGTGCGGTAGTTGGAGCATTCTTTGGCACTTCCTTTCTTTGGGATTGGGATGTAGACTGACCTTCTTCAATCCTCTGGCCACTGCTGAGTTCTCCAAACTTGCTGGCATATTGAGTGTAGCACCTTAACAGCATCATCTTTTAAAATTTTAAATAGTTCAGCTGGAATACCATCACTTCCACTGGCCTTGTTATTTGCAGTGCTTTCTAAGGCCCATTTGACTTCACTCTCCAGGATGTCTGGCTCAAGTTCAGCAACCACACTACCTGGGGTGTACGAGCCATCCATATCTTTCTGGTATAATTCCTCTGTGTATTCTTGCCACCTCTTCTTGATGTCTTCTGCTTCTGTTAGGTCCTTACCACTTTTGTCCTTTATTATGGTAATCTCTGTACGAAATGTTCCTTTCATATCTCCAATTTTCTTGAACAGATCTCTGGTTCTTCCCATTCTGTTGTTTTCCTCTGTTTCTTTGCATTGCTCATTTAAGAAGGCCTTCTTGTCTCTCCTTGCTATTTTTTGGAGATCTGCATTCAATTTCCTGTATCTTTCACTATCTCCCTCGCATTTTGCTTGCCTTCTCTCCCCCACTATTTGTAAGGCCTCGTTGGATAGCCACTTTGCTTTTTTGCATTTCCTCTTCATTGGGATGGTTTTAGTTGCTGCCTCCTGTATAATGTTGCGAGCCTCCATCCATAGTTCTTCAGGCACTCTTTCCACCAAATCTAAATCCTTAAACCTGTTCCTCACTTCCACTGTGTATTCATAAGGGATTTGACTTAGATTGTATCTTACTGGTCCAGTGGTTTTTCCTACTTTCTTCAGTTTAAGCTTGAATTTTGCTATAAGAAGCTGATGATCTGAGCCACAGTCAGCTCCAGGTCTTGTTTTTGCTGACTGTATAGAGCTTCTCCATCTTTGGCTGCAGAGAATATAATCAATCTGATTTCGATGCTGCCCATCTGGTGATGTCCATGTGTAGAGTCGTCTCTTGTGTTGTTGGAAAAGAGTGTTTGTGATGACCAGCTTGTTCTCTTGGCAGAACTCTATTAGC